GGTTATCAGATCAGAAAATGTTTCAGGAAGTAAAGGTGGTCAGCAACATGTGTTTCATATTAGGGATCAAGTGACATTTGGCTTCTAAAAATACTGGTCTAGCATCTTACGTCCTGAGATGCCAGTGGCGTGCACTGGGTACTGTTTACTTTTACTTGAAAAATTTAAATCTTGAACTTCTCTAAGCAAGAATTTATCTTACAAAATAATCTATTTGCAGATGTTTTGTTTTCAAATGTAACATAAACTGGACAGTTAATGTAATTACTGAATCAGAATAACTGTGCTGACAAGATATTTATAAAACAAAATTCAGTCATGCTTGAACCATGTCACATCAAGATTCAGTCAAGCTTGAACTTTAAGCTATATCAAGATGTATCATGCTTTGACTTCATGTCACATCAAGATTCAGTCATGCATGGACTTCACATCATTTCAACTTTCAGTCATGCTTGGATTTCGTGTCATTTCAAGATTCAGTCATGCCTGGACTTCATGTCACATCAAGATTTAGTCATGCTTGGACTTCATGTCACATCAAGATTTAGTCATGCTTGGACTTCATGTCACATCAAGATTTAGTCATGCTTGGACTTCATGTCACATTAAGAGTCAGTCATGCTTAGACTTCATTTCATGCTCTGACACTGTCAAACCTCAAGGCATTAAACTTACCCTGCTCCATCACTTTTAAAAAAAATAAAAAATAAAAATTTCAGGTAAATTAACAATTATCAAAAGTCATGTCTAATTATAGCCACAACCATCAAAACCAAACATACTAGTGTGTGGAAGCAGATTGCAAGTAGCGCTAATTTAAAAAAAAAATGCATATAATGAATCAACTGGAGAAAAAAAGGAGGCTCTACTGGCAAATCCGGACGAAGAATAAACAGCCTTGGACGACTTAGTGAGAGTTCTCTCCCGTCGCCGCACTCCAAACAGTGATCGGAAAATCCACAACGAAACAAAGAAGACAGTCACGTCGACATCAGGGCTGCCAATGCTTGGTTGTTTCCCCCAGATCTGGGTTTTTTTTCGACGCTGCAGGACAATTCTGGGTGTTTTTTTTTGGGTGTGTTTTGTTTGTTGGTGTTTGCCGATTTGTATGCTTTAATGATCGATAAATATGCGTGGTTAGGGGGGTAGGGGTTAGGGTTAGGGTTAGGGTTAGGGTTAGGATTAGGATTAGGGTTAGCGGTAGGGTTAGGATTAGCGTTAGATTTGACACTTTTGACGCCGGAGTTCCCTATAATCGCGCACAGTCCCATACACACAAACAAATAATCGAGGGCCTCTGGATGCTGGTCACACGCACAATTCGCCAACGATTGGGGGCACCAGCCGCACGCTATTGGCGTCATATTTGGCAGAGTTTCAGTGGCGCCACTCCCACAAACATCATATTGTCGGCCAGTATTTCGAAATCCTACGTCAAAATTTTCACATCTAACCCTAACCCTACCCCTAACCCTACCCCTAACCCTAACCCTACCCCTAACCCTAACCCTACCCCTAACCCTACCCCTAACCCTAACCCTAACCCTAACCCTAACCCTAGCCCTACCCCTAACTCTAATCCAACAACCGCATGATGATGACTACACAACCATTCACAATGCCTCACGCAACCGTACGCAACTGTGCACGCAACCATATGATGATGCCACGATGTCTCACGCAACCGTACGCAGCCCTACACGCAACCGCAGGATGATAGGTAAGTTTGTCGTTTGTTTCGTTTGTTTTCCGATTACTGTTCGGAGTGCGGCGACGGGAGATAACTCTGACTAAGTCGTCCAAGTCTGTTTATTCTTCGTCCGGATTTGCCAGTAGAGCCAAAAAGGATTAAACTTACCATGGTATGTCAAGTTTAGTCTGGCTGGACCTTAAACTATTAGTTAAAGTAAATATTAGTAAAATTAATGACAAACATTTCTTAATCATAGCAAAGTGGTCATCTGTAACTAGCTAATCTTCACAGATTATATTGTGCTTTAAAAACTTAGCTGCAAATCCTTTACAGAGCCTCAAAAACCAACTTCAGCATTGCTGCTTGTTTGTGGTATTACTAGACAATTCTACATTCAGAAGTTTGTCGCTGCTAACAGATTGTATATTTTCGTAGGACTATTGTGATTTTCTGTCAGTAAATGCCTGGTTATCGTAAAGCATAAAGCTGTATGGCTCAAATTTTACATAATAGTTTCACATTGGGAAAAAATATGTGTTTTTTTATGCATAACATGGAGAACAACTAAGGCATGTACTAATAAACTACAGACATTCATTAACTGGTGCCTGCTCAGAATAGAGGGGATCAAATGGTATGATAGAATCCCTAATGTAGAGCTTTGGGAGAGAGCAAGCTCCAGTGGACCAAGAGGTGAAGAAAAGACGCAAGTGTTGGATAGGACACACATTGAGAAAACCAGAGAACAATATAACAAGAATTTCTTTGCAATGGAACCCACAGGGGCACAGGAATTAAGGGAGGGAGCTGGAGAATAAAGTTAGAAAGAGGGGAGGACACGGGGGAGAGCTGTGTGTGATAGCAAAGGATAGAACAACGTGGCGTAAGTTGGTTGAGGGCCTATGCTTCATTGGGAGCTAAAAAGGCAGAAAAAAAGAGAAGAAAACATCAGAATGGCATAAAAAAAAAACAAGCACAAGAATAATCACTTGTTAAATAAAAAGCTTTTAAATTGTTTTAAATAGCTTACCAATGGTAAAATAGCTATTTATGATGATGATAAATTAAATGCTCTTTTAATATACTTTAAATGTTGAACTGTACAACAGCCATGGAAAAGAAATAATTAAACGACTGGTTCTAAAAAAATTATAAATGCCTGCTGTATAAAACTTAACAAGAATTCCCTGGTACTATCTGCTACAGCGAGCCCCACTAAAACGTTACAATGGGTATAGAGCGAGTGGAAGACCTCGGAAAAGATAGAGTGATGGGATTAAGAACAGCATTACAGAAATGAACATCAGTCTTAATAGTAGTTTTAACAGAGCTCATCAACAAATGTTACATCTCACCCTCCCAGACACTTCGCTGAGGTACAAGGTGGAAGAGGAGAAGAAGAAGAAGAAGAAGAAGAAGCTGTATAAAACACCTGTCATAATGTCTGCCATTAAAATTAACAGGTTCTGCAAATCTCTTGAAATGTCAACCTCCATGTTCAACTATTTCCAACTCCAATTATTTAATAAGCCAATCCGTGAATCTGATGCCTTCATGCTAAGTTCCTAGTTTAAGATCACAAACCAACATAAAGCAATTCTAGACATAAAAAAAACTCCACTGAGACTTGCAGCCGGTAGAAGGGTGTCCCTGACCACACAAATCAATAATTTGTGGCATCAATTTTAAAATACAGTGAAGTGTTTTCAGAAATGATGTCAGTATATACTTAGGGTGTTGCCAGAGATGCTGGATATATAGTGAAGTTTCAAATTTAAGATCTTCAGTTCTTCATTTTCTTCTTCTTCTTCTCACTCACCAGCTGTTCACTCTGGCAGAAAGTTCTGGTTTTTGTCCACCTCTGGACTCTAGACCTGTTCCAGAACCTTAGTGTTGTGTACACATTTTTAAAATACAGTGAAGTGTTTTCAGAAATGATGTCAGTATATACTTAGGGTGTTGCCAGAGATGCTGGATATATAGTGAAGTTTCAAATTTGAGATCTTCAGTTCTTCGTTTTCTTCTTCTTCTTCTCACTCACCAGCTGTTCACTCTGGCAGAAAGTTCTGGTTTTTGTCCACCTCTGGACTCTAGACCTGTTCCAGAACCTTAGTGTTGTGTACACATTTGATTTACAGATTTGACTCATGTGTATGCAGACTGTTGGTTCCTTGCCTCGCAGGCAGATGCACTCCCTCTTTAAAGGAAGCTCCCAATCAGTCGACCCTTACAACATGCTTTTGGGGAGGCAGTGGGTCTATGTTTGTTTTGTTTTCCCCACAATGGATCACTAGAACCCATACTCTGAATATTTGAGATCTGAGGGACTTAATACTAAGAAAAGGACATCAGAAATATAACCTATTAAAAAAAGGGCAGAGGTCAACAACAACAAAAGTGCACTTTTTTTTTTAAATTTTAATCTGGACGGCAGACAAACATTTCTCTTCTCTCTGTTATCTAATGCCCCTTACATCCATTAATGTTACAATCTGTTACCGCACTTCTATTTGATCAACTGGTCGATCTGTTTCCTACAGGATACCACCTGAAGGTTTACTGCCGTGAGCTTTCTAAAAAAAATCTCAATCTGTCTCTAAAGAAGTTATAATTATGGCGCCAATAATCACTATACCAGCCAGGTGTAACTTGCAGTCCTGGGCTGCTAATGTATGTAAATAATACCGTTCGCTTTAATCTGTTACATATGTTAATATTAGTATTATGCCGTAGCCCAGTGGTCGGCAAATCACGGCTCGCCAGTCCCATGTGGCTCTTTAGCGGCCTGAGTGCGGCTCGGCCAGTCGGCCACAAATCGGTTTTGACTCCAAAAAAACATGGTTCTTGACAGGTTCTTAAAAATAAATATGCTCTCAACAAATCTTTTAATCAGCCTGCTGTTGATTTTTGGCTCTTTTGGTTTATTAGTTTGCTGACCACTGCCCTCTTTGATCCCAATCACATTTTTAATTTTTAGTATTATTCGCTCAAACCATACTTTAGAAGCTGTTGTTTGCTTAGCTGTAAAATGTGCATGGTTTGTTTACAAAAACAAAACGAATGATCCTTTTACATGTTTTCATGCACAGTGTGCTCACAGTGCTAGATCTATAGTTTTTGGACCAATCGGCACTCCCCGAAGATGTGGTCAACATCTGCGGGCTGCGTTTACTTTCCAGGACTACATCTGCTACCCACTCAAGACCGGGTCGACCTGGTGGCTAAGGTCATTTTATTTTTATGTCTGGTTTCGCTCGGACTCAAAACCTACGACCTTTGGATCTGCAGGAGAGATCCTAGCCACTACACCAAGGTGGCTCTTGTCAATGGCTTAATCGCATAATACTGACTGCATTCAATTCGATAATGAAGTATTCCTAATTCATAACTGCATTTTTTTAGGAAATGGTGTCTGATTTCATGTGTCACCTGTGGATGAAAAAAAAAGGTCATGTTTGACATTAAGACTTCTCAAGAAATACTGACATTTTAAAAGATCATAACATCAAGGAAGATTGCCTAACAAACAGCATCTTGTCTCGAAAGCTGAAATATTTTGGTCATATAAAGAACCACAATGGATTGGACAAAATATTAGCAGAAGCCATGGTACCAGGAAGGAGTGTCAGGGGCCGACCAATACAATAATGGGCACAGGATGTAAGTGACTCCTTGAATATTAAAGTCCATGAGATGGGAGAGCTGGCGAGAGTTTCTTTCAGGCAGACCGTGATGAAAGTGACATTCTGCAAAGGACCTGGTGCACGAAGATGATGATAAACTTTCCTTCTTCTGTCTTTAATCAACAAACAGCAGCTAAACAACAACAAAAACTAGAAAAGTCTGCAAATTGAATACATCAACTAATAAGGCCCAGATGTATACATGACAAGGCAGATGTGATCTAGGCCCTTTGGGAACAAGCAGTCTAGTAGTCGTGTGTCTGAATCCTCTCTAAGGTAGCCCTTTTGTTCAGTAACTTGAACTCTTAGCTCAATAACAGCTTAAAACATGCTGTTGCGCGCTGATTTGGGTTAAGTGTGATATTGTGGGAAGGGACAACGGTATACCTGTACTTCCTGTAAGTTCACGAGGAAAGAGTGTCAATATGATCCGAGTATTAAGAGGAGACCAGTGAAAACGTCTATTCATGAACAAGGCGTGCTTGCACGAGAGAAAGTGGACGCGTAGGATTCTGTGTGGTGGGCTGAAAGCGTGGATAACGAGATAAAGTGTATGAGCAAGTCCCGAGAACACCCACAGGATCATGATTCACGAGAACGCCCACACAAGCGTGCCTCTCGTGTAATCACCATCCACTTACACGGATTCGACATATATAAATTGAGCTGCGTAGACAGTCCAGAGAGAGAGCTGTAGCCTGAGGGCTAAAGCCCCTCGGGGGCAGTCAAGATAGAGCAAGAAGCGAGAAGAGAGAGAAAACGAGAGTCAGGGACCAAGTCAGGGTCCAGGTAATCTCTCGAGTCTAACGGACAAACATACCGTACGACTATCGGGCATTTAGGTCCGAGTAAGTGTCGAGATTGCGGTACATGTCCAAAAGTATGAGAGGACTTATGGTAGAAGTCCTGTCGGTCATTGGAGTCTAACCGACTAGAATACCGTACGACTATCGGGCATTTAGGTCCGAGTAAGTGTCGGGATTGCGGTATGGGAAATATGGTCCCGCTGGCAAAGTAAGTCCAGGGGACGGGGAAGAACAGTAGTGTCTGGTTCCGGAGGAGTACGGCAAGAGAAGTCCGTCTCCAGTCAGCCGGGTTGTATGCTGAATTAATATCAAGGTCCAGTGAATGGGAGAAGTCGTCCTGTTCAGCTGTACGACGTGTCCAGAGAGTGGGACGCCGTCGTCCTGGTATCTGCAGTTGTCCAGGAGAGGTCACTACACAGTGAGAGATCGAGAGCTGTGAGGACAAATGAACGATGTGCGAATGTCAGCTGTGATCAATAACTACGTCTCTGCATTTGTGTCATGTATCCTGTTAAATAAACTTGTATGACGGTGTCATCGTCGTCGAGTTGTCTTGTTAAGAAAGGAAGCTGAAGAGTACCTGCTAGACACTTGGTAGTGTGCTGACTCAATTTAGCACACAACACATGCATAATAATAAAAACCACACCACACATCGAGTACTCATCAGTCCGATGAACTTATAAAATACAAATCCGATTATTTTTTTTACAAGAATTCACTTCCTAGTTATCTGAGTCTAAAAAGAGACAATAGGAAATGTTCTGGATAGTAAAGGTGGCTGATTATAACATTCATTGTTTGCCAGGTGTGTTTAAAACTATGGAGCTAGCACCATATACCTATGGCATGGAATAGAGCTTTTTACCTGATCCTTACATCATATCAATTGTTTAACACTAGTGTCAAAGGGAAACAAATGTGAAACATAAAACTGAAAGATAATAAAAGAGGACGAAAGAAGGACAGAAAGAAAGAAGGAGAAGAAAGAGAAAAGAAAAGAAAAGAAAGAAAGAAAGAAAGAAAGAAAGAAAGAAAGAAAGAAAGAAAGAAAGAAAGAAAAAAGAAAAGAAAGAAAGAAAGAAAAGAAAGAAAGGGGAAAGAAAGAAAGAAAGAAAGAAAGAAAGAAAGAAAGAAAGAAAAAAGAAAAAAGAAAGAAAAAAGAAAAGAAAGAAAGAGAAAGAAAAGAAAGAGATTAAAGGGAGAGAGGAAGGAGAAAGGAAAGAAAAGAGAAAGAAAGAAAGAAAAGAAAGAAAAGAAAAGAAAGGAAGAAAGAAAGAAAAGAAAAAAAAAAGAAAGAAAAAGAAAGAAAAAGAAAGAGACTGAAGGAAAGAAAGATAGAAAGTTTTTGAGAGAGCGAGAGAGAGAAAGAGAGAGAGAAAGAGAAGAAGAAGAGAGAGAGAAGAGAGAGAGAGAGAGAGAGGGGAAGAGAAAGAAAAGAAAAAGAGAAGAAAGAAAAGAAAGAAAGAAAAAAAAGAAAAAAAGAAAGAAAGAAAGAATTTTCAAGAAAGAAAGAAAATGAGAACAGGAAAGAAAAAAAGAAGAAAAAAAAAAAAGAAAAGAGAAGAAAAAAAAGAAGCGAGAAAAAAACGAAAAGAGAAAAAGAAAGAAAAGAAAGAAAGAGAAAGAAAGAAAGAAGAGGAAAAAGAAAGAAAAAAAAGAGAGAAAGAAAGAAAGAAAGAAAAGAAAGAAAGAAAGAAAGAAAAAAAAAGAAACAAAGAAAGAATAGAAAGCAACAGGAAAAAAAAAAGGGGGAAAAAGAAAAAAAGGAAAGAAAAAGAACAAGAAAAAGAAAAGAAAAAAGAAAGAAAAAGAAAAAGAAAGAAAAGAAAGAAATGGAAAGAAAAAAGAAAGAAAGAAAGAAAGAAAGAAAGAAAAAAGAAAAGAAAGAAAGAAAGAAAAGAGAAAAGAAAGAAAGAAAGAAAGAAAAAAGAAAGAAAAGAAAGAAAGAAAAAGAAAGAAAGAAAGAAAGAAAGAAAGAAAGAAAGAAAGAAAGAAAGAAAGAAAGAAAGAAAGAAAGAAAGAAAGAAAGAAAGAAAGAACTTTCAATACTCCTGAAGCTACTAGATTTAAAAAACATGAGACTGTCCTACCTTTACCAACACGGAATAGAGGGTTCGACTTCTTTCAAGTGTTGGTAGAAAAGGATCCAGCAGAAACTCATGCAGGTTTGGGTGGGGCAGCAAAGCAACTCTGGCAATAATCGCAGTCAGCAGCAGATTGACCGAATAACTCTAACAGCGGGAAAGAATTTAATAAACTGTACAGGTATCACTATCATCACACATGTTTACGAGAAGCCACTCCACCCCCTCCCCCCCCCCCCCCCTTTCCCTTTTTTTCCTAATCATGTAATTCGCAGATCATAATCATCATCAGGTGCCTTGCCGACTGGCGTGGGCGATCATGCCTCTCCATAATCTGCGATCTCCTGCAGCATGTATCAGTTCATGTGCCGACACACCTTTATGCCATGCAACAAGACTGTCAAGCATCTTCTCTTGTTGTCTTCCTCTATCACAGATATTCACAGATAAAGTCATTGTAAATAATCCTTTTTGCACCCCTGCTGTGCCAGGCATATAGTGCTAGACCTATATCTCTAAAAATCAGGGCTCCCCCCTCTCCCCAAACCGGGCTTACCCCCTCCCTCCTTCAAATGCAGATCGTGCACTAAAACACACCAATATTGACTAGACGAATAAGATGTCATAAGTGTTACATTTTGTTGTTAGGGGGTTGAATCGGGGGATTTGCAGTTGAAAAGTCCAAAGAGGCAGACAATGTCCTAGAGTGGCTCATCCTAAGAGAAGATTTACCCCGGGATCCAATGAAGAAATTCAGCCTGAGTGCTGGGCATTACAGCCAGTTCTGCAGGAAGCAGGATAACTTTACTCCGATGTTTTAACTCAGCAGGACTGCTGGATAATCATGAAGTAACGACATGTCAGTGATGTTCCAAGGTCAAGCGGCTGACTTACAGAGATTCTGTGATTAAATATGCAATCTAATCTTCATTGAGAGTGAGTATGAGGACGTTAGGAGTGATTTGCTATTTGACAATATGGGTGAGTTCCTGTACATTATTTCATGTTCGCTAGCAATGTCGATCCTGATCTCATAATACACATTTGGTACCCATACTCCTTGGTGTTTTTCAGTCAAAAGAATTCTCACATTTGAAATGTATTGTTGTTGCTGTTATACAGTTGTCTACAGAGTTTCGATTGGGCCTGTTGGATCTTTGTCCACTGTTTCATATGAAAATCTTGCCATACTGTTTTTCCTAGACTTGGCTTGGTAGAATAAACTAATTATGTTCAAGTTGTGTTGACTCGTTGCCTTAGATTCTAACACTCCTGACTTGGTCTTGCTGTTCACTGTTGGCTGAGGGACATTGCAAGTTCTAAGTTGATCAATCGATGTTCTCACTGATCATAACCTGGCTATCCTCCAAATAACGGCCACATATTATGGCAGCCAAAAACACACCCTGACAGGGCCTCATTAGGTCGTGTGTTGTAAACATTCAAAAACTTGAACTTCAAAATAATGAGGGATGGAAAAAAAAGGAAAATGACAAAATCGACTACTTAGTGATAATTGAGGCCTTTATATGTGAAAATAGTGGCACAGTAGTTTCAAATAGTGACCAAAAATCTGCTTTTGGTGGCTTTGGTGCTATTGAAACTCGGCAAAATATGATCGGTGCCGCATTGGTAACGCAGTTTTCACTCCCGAGAGTATGCCAGTGCCGCTACACGCGGCGCGAAGGGCGGATAAAGTAGATGGCTGGGGCTCACGAGCAAATAAAATGAGGAAGCTGCATGATGCGGTAGCTGCTGCTCATGAGCCCCAGCCATCTAGTCTAGCCCCACTCTGCGCCGCTACATGAGGCGCAGGTGAAACTCTCAGAGGCGAGTTTAACATGGTGGAAATTTATTATACTATTGCCTCGGTATATTCGCCGGGAAAAAGTCCGCAATTTACAGGTAACTGAGGCCCTGTCAGGGTGTGTTTTTGGCTGCCATAATATGCTGCCGTTATCCGAAAGATAACCCATAACTTTTATCACTGAAGAGATACCACATGCTTCCTCATCTCAAGCGACAATTCACATCACACCTCCTCCCAGAAACAAAAGTGCCAGTATTCACAACAGTTTCTTAAAAAAAAGACACCGGTGCTGACTGTAAAGTGTTTATTACAACGGCAGTGAAAAAAAGGATGCCTAAAAGAAGAATGTGCCAATATAAAGAAGAAGGAAGAAGCCCTGCTATGAACAAACTAACACAACGAATGCTGAGGTCAGTGGTATGCCAGCTACTTTTAGCTTCCAGGACATTTCCTGGATAAATCTCACAGCCTCAAAATAAATGCGGTAAACTGTTGACCATTTATGAAATACTGACGACAAAGCAAAATAACGCAATGAATGTTAGTGAAACCAAAGTAATTTCTTTTATTCAGCACAATTAAACTGGAGCATGGACCCTCAACCAACTTCTTTTGCAATCACCCTTTAAAAATGTGGCTGACACACTGATGTAATTTACATCTAGATTGTAATATGTGTGCCTACGGCTCATAACATCTCATTTCATTAACCCGTAATAAGTAATCTTTTATGACATGCTGGCTAAGATATTTACTCTTTAAATGCTGTCAAATATTTAAAGATCTTCTTTGAAAACAATCAGGACTTCTAGCCATATACTGCATACGCCAATATCACAAAATATTGAAAAAAAACAAAAAACACCAAGAATTCCACATACCTGATCCAAAAGATGAGCGAGTTTGTCAAACAACATATGTAAAAATGACCCTTCATAAAATATGTCCATTACATACTCAGCGATTACTACTGGTCTCATGGGCCAAGCCCAGCTGGCACAAACTGTCTCTTGTATGGCAAACTGAAAATAAATCATTTAATGAAAAATCTGCCACAGATTTATCAAATGTCAAATGTATTCTGTATTTTTTTGTCAACGGATGTTATGTCCCACCCGGTTTGTGATTCTGGCATCGTGCAGGGTTAGGGAACCCTCTCACAAACCTAAGCTTATAAGGGGGTCAGAGGAAGAAGATGATGTACCACTTAATTATGTGTCTCACTAAAATGACAATGTCTCTGACATGGCATATATTTTTGTAAGATTCACTTTGTCCTGGACACAACTTTTACCCCAGAGATTGGATTATTCATGAACTGGTGCTTTTTCTTTTAACAGTTTTTCCAAGAGAGTGGATTTATGGCTTGTAATTTTCAACCTCCATGGAAATTTTTATGCACCTTGAGACTTATTTTGGCTTTCAGCTAAAAACGGTTTTAAGTATTCAATATTACCTTATCAGAATTATATGATAGTATTATGAATCAATTGTGTTGTGTAAATATATATATATATATATATATCCAGCCCTAGGTTGATAGTAAACCACTTAATTTATAAGCCCAAGGCCAACACTGAAACTTCTCAGCTCCATCTTCTAACATCAAATTAAACAAACAACTTGATATATGAGTATAGCTTCTGTATGACTCTTTCATGGGAGCCGCCCTTGTGTAGCTGCGAGACGCTCACCTGCGGATCGGAAGGTCGTAGTTCAGGTCTTGATAAAGCCGAACATTTTTTTTTTAAATATAACCTTAGCTTACAGGTCGACCCAGCCTTGAGTGGGTACCAGGTACAAGTCCTGGGAAGTAAGGACAGCCGGGATGATACTGTCCACATCACCCACCAATTGCTGATTGGTCTATAAAATTAAAGTTTAGTCCAATATGCCTCAAGGCATGGAAAAGGGTCCTATATGGTGCTAGAACCATTTGTATAAACCAAAAAGTACTCAGTGGGTGATGTGGTCGGCATCAAAATTTCCCTTTCTACTTCCTAAGATATTTTAGGCTAGGCTGACTTGGGAGCTCCATGCCAAACATAAAAATCTACCCCGATGTAGATTTAAACCCAAGATTTTAAGGTCAGAGGCATGTGTCTAGCCACAGTGTTACTTATGCTGCTCAATATGTTAAAAACATATTTACTAGCTACTTCTAAAGCATGTACCTCTTTGTGTGTTTGTTTCTTGCAAACATTTTAATTATCACAGCAGATTGGCAGGTACTGCACCACTGAGCAGAGAACTGATGTATGACAAAGTGGATGTGTTCAAGGCCCTTTGGGTGTAAATAAACAATGTGGAAAAGTGAACAGATTATGGTCTGAAGACAACAATACAATAGAGAATGATCAGATGATCTGATAAATGCAGTTGCCACTTCATGGCAAACTGGTAACCCCATAGATGCTCTGTTCCTCTGTGCCAGCAAAAACCATACAGAATGTCCGTCACTGTCCCTTGTGACGGGAGCAGAGAGGTATGACAAATTACAAATGTGGAAATTGGAAGAGAACTAAAAAAAAAAAAAGTAAAGGACTCTTTTCCACGCCTTCGGGCATATAGGGCATAAAGGGCTAGACCTATATTTTATAGACCAATCGGCACAAAGTGGGTGATGTGGTCAGCATCACGCCGGCCGCCTTTACTTTCCGGGACTGCACCCGGTACAGACTCAAGGCTGGATCAACCTGGGAGAAAGTCTTTTTTTTTTTTAAAGTCCGGTTCCGCCATGAAGCGAAACCACGACCTTCTGATCCGCGGTGAGCGTGAAGAGAACTGAACTAAATATACAGTAATCAAGACATGAAGAGAAGACACTGATGTGAACAGGGTGCATGCTGAAAAATCCTGCAAACAATATACTTAGACATTTTTTTCATGGAACACACACAGTCACATCAAACAAAGGCAGACCAGAAAATAACTGAAAATGGGAACTGGAGCATAAAGTTAAAAAAAAAACAGGAAGGACATGCTTCAGCAGCATGCATCAGTGAATTACAGGATCATCTGGAGTGCTTTGGCTGAGCAGAAGAAAAAACTGTTGTAGCACTGCATACCTGCTTATGAGCATCTCTGATGTACATGTCATATCCACTGTCAGGAGTCTGATATGATGATTTAGCTTCTTCTGGCAACAAGCCTAAAAAACAGTTGACCACTTTGTGAACTTCAGAGCGAGTAAACATTGGTGAAGAAAAACCTGGGGGAAAAAAAAAATCACGCTGGCATGATTACCTAATTCTGTAAAACAAAAATGAAAAGCACTAACAGCATGTGTAGCAATCTTTAATATTTTAAATTATGCTTATGAAGCAGCTTTTCTATAAAAAAAATAGATGGCCAATTACGTTCAGAATGATGTGTACTTTTGCAGGTCCAATGCAGGTTTTCGTGACTGACCGCTAGCACCAACAGTGAGTTGCAATTCTAGTGTGGGACTGTTTGCCCTGGCACATCTAATAGCTGCCTTATGCATTTTTACTTTGCATGTGCAAGCTTCAAGATTTTTTGGGGACTGACAAGTTTTTCGCTAGTTTTTAAATGGGACAGTGAAAGAAATTGTGTGTCATTTCTTCTGGCACTGTTGCTGGAACCCCGAACTATCAACAATGTAGAGTAACTGGTCGTAGAGTAACATCTTTTCTGAACTGCTCAGTTCATACTGCTCAGCGGTTGACCCAACCTCATAAAATGGGTAGAATAAAGATCCCTTCTCACACCTTGTAGCACCCGACATATAGTGCTAGCCTGATATTTTGTATAGATCAAGTGGCACTTGATAGGTGATGTGGTCAACATTACGCTGGCCGTCTTTACTTTCCAGGACACTACCTGATACTCATTTTAGGCCACATCGACTTAAAAACCAAAATCTATTTTGCAAAAATCTTGATGCGGATTTGAAAGATAGACCTTTGGCCTGGCAAACAAGTGTCTAATCTCTGCACCACCACTGCACCCATTACAAACTCCTTTTTTTTAATTTTACACAAGGGTGATTTTTTTAGCAAAGAAATAACTGCTTTCCTTCCCTTTAAAATGGATACCAAAACACAAAATAAAGGCAGCAGACAAAATAATGACTATACATACAGCCCACAGTGTGCCACAAGAAAAAATGTATCTAATACTATATGCCTAAGAAGTCTTATGGTATAGTTTCAACGATGTCATTAGAAAGAGATGAGGTGGTAAAAAAAAAAGGAAGCTATGATCTAGTGGATTTTAACTCAAATGATGCACAAGAGAACAGTGAAGTATGAAGAAAACCCTTACTTAGAAAAGAAAGTTATGTAGACATGTTCTTCATTTAAATACACTGTGACTGAGTGTTAAAATGTTAGACACAAAATGCTCAAATCCTTGACCACTGCAGATTTTGCAACATAAAGGCAGAGACTGCCGCTGTGTGGAATTAAAGATGGTAGCAGGTAACATGAGCAATACAAAATGAGCAATACAAATATATTTTGCCAGTGGGTTATTGCAGAAATGTTGTGTTTATGCCATTTATCAGAAATCATAGCAAAATATAACCAAATGCACGCAAGGTTCGTGGTGTCAATTCAATGAATAAATCAAACATATATCTACAGAAAGGAAGGTGATATCACAGTTAAGAGACAAAGTAACTGACAAATGAGCTGCATTGTCCAAGTATTAGAGGTTACAGGTGGAGGAATACACAACATGATATAAAAATTGGAATATAGAGAGACAATAATTGAAAAGTTACAAAATCAGCTCAACAACACAGAAAACAAGACGACCTATAAAAAATACCTATGAAACTGGTATATGAGTAAAAGTCTTCTTTTTTGCTTACTGTTACCACAGACTAAAACAGAGAATGAGGAAACTGCTTAAGAAGTAATCATAGCCAGTCACATATTGATCAGATCACTCATGAGGTATCATCATAACATCAATATGATACTACAACATCCAGCTTAAAAATTAAGCAGAGGCAGTCACTGCAGTTTTCCACTGGTTAGAGAACATGACACAAACACACTGTGATTGTTACTGACACATCCCCGTGTGGGTTCCAGGGCCCCACTGTGGGAAAAACAAGAATAGACCCACTGCCTGCACAAAAACATGTCGTAATAGTCAACTAATTGGGAGCTTCCTTGGGAGTCAGAGTAATCTGCCTGAGAGGCAAGGAACCAACAATCCGCATGTAAAGAGTCAGACCCGTGAAACGGATGTACATGCAACACTCAGTTTGTGGAACAGGACTAAGTCCAGAAGTGGACGAACAAACAGAACTTTCTGCTGGGGTTTACAGCCGGTGAACACGAAGAAGTAGCTGACACTGAAAGCATAATGAGGAAGGTGGGGACAAGCATGCATTGTGCAGAGTGGCATGCTTCGCCTTGGAGGTCAGGGGTGAAGAGCATTGTCTGGAACTTTTCTCCGGGGATGCCGGTGTGTTGGAGAATGAACAGTCGGACAGACTGGCTGGTTCAGCACAATGGATCACCACAGTCTGGTGAGAGAGATGAGTGACAAGGGGATCTGGCCGATATTCAACGCTCAGAGGAAAGGCAAGATGTGTGAACAATGAGACTGTTACTGGCACCACTGGTACTGGAACTCTGCTCTCGCTGATGCAGATGGGGATGGAGCCCTTATTCTCAGCTTATGGGAATGCTCCTAGTGCTGTGATGTTGGTTTAATTTTATATGTGCAAATTCCTATCAAATAAATAATGAGTGCATCATTAACAAAAACAATCAAATACAGAGGTTCTGAAATTATTAGGAAAGAAAAGAGTTTGAAATAAAATATAGAAAAGTAAAATATTTCGGCCACATAAAAAAACTTTTAAAAAATATACTGGAGGAAACAGTTAAAGACAAGCTAGCAAGAGGCATACAGCAATACAAGTGGGAGGATAACATCAAGAGATAAACAGCAGTCTGAAAGAGAGTAGATCCAAGTCGAAAGAATGAGTTTCAGAGAGCCATTGTAGCCACACTTCATTGTGGAGACAGCACCTGAATGAAAGATGATATATGTTATTGCTGTTCTATTCTTACTTGTTCACCATTAGTATCCATAGTAGCATACCTTATATTGATAAAAACAAATGCCAGTGGGTTCTGACTACATCAAACTAACATTTCCCTTACCTGAGGGCAAACTGGAAGACACAGAAGATCCGGATGGAGTGCTATCACTAGAGCCCAGAGAAGAATTAATCTTTTCATTGTCCTCGCTACATACTTCCCCACTGTATTCTTGTTCTCTTGGTGAAAGTAAGTCTTTGGTTTGGTGATCGTCAACTTCTGTAGGTTCAGCTAAGCATTCACCCACAGCTAGAGAACCACTACTGTTCCTCAAGCCAGCAAGATCTGTTGCTTCTGCTTGTGGTTCTGATAGTTGTTCTCGATTATTGCTAGCAGGCTGACCAGCATCAACAGCAGTGGTAGCAGACGCTTCAGCTGGATTAGTTTGCGAGCTATCAAGAATCACTTTACTGGCTGTCTGTGAGAGTTCCTCTTGGCCATTCACTACTTCTTGACTGACATCATTTACAGTGGGCATTTGAAGTGAACTCTCTTCTGTTGGTGGTGACTCCTGCAAATAACTGCGACCCAACAAATTACGAAGTAGGAGACAATGGAAAATATGTTCATCCTCCTTTTGCAGCAGTGTGTCAAATAACTTCAGGGTCGCAATGCAAACCTATAAAATCACAACAAGAAAAGTATTAGTGCACTTATTTCTTCAATATAAAACTCTGTCCTTTAAATTTACTGCCCAAATAAAATTAAAACAGACATTTGTTTCACATCCTTATAACCTAGGACCGAATTTAGAATATTTAACTCTAACTTCAAATTAATACTCATGTGTGGAACTGAAACAGAGAAAGTCTAAAACAGTCACTAATAAACTTCAAAATACATTAACCGTTTAGTCACAAGAAGCTGCAAAACTGATACTTCCTCTGGTCCCAATTCCGCATAAATGTCAATTTCCGACTTGTCTACAGTGACCTGTGTATGAGACACACAGTTAATGCTCATCATCATCAGGTGCCTTGCCGACTAGCGTGGGCGATTATGCCTCTTCACAATCTGCGATCTCCTGCAGCATGTATCAGTTCGTGTGCCGACACACCTCCATGCCATGCAACAAGACTGTCAAGATTCTTCTCTTGTTGTCTTCCTCTATCCCTCCTTCCACAGATTTTTCCAGTGGTCACAACATGTTCTATTTTCCTTCTTCTCAAAACATGGCCGAAAAATGATGTCTCCTTTTGATGTCTGTGATGAGTTGTCTTCAGGCTCCCGCCTCTTTCAAAACCTCTTAGTTGCTCTTTTTGGCTGTCCAAGGTATTCCAAGCATTCTTCTGTAAAACCACATCTCTGAGGCCACAAGAAATTGTTTGGCCTGACTAATGATTGTCCAGGATTCACAGTCATATGTTAAAACTGGATGTATGTAGTAAGCAAGAATTCTTTTTCTAACTCTCAATGACAAATTTTGCATTAGATGTTATTCATTTTATTAAATGCAGTTTTTGCCTGTCCAATTCTGTTTTTTTATCTCAGTTATGCATCTTCCATCTGATGTTATCCATGTGCCCAGATACCTAAATTTCTGTACTTTTCCCAAAATAACACCATCGACTTTTATTTCACATATAGGAATAATTTGTTTCTTTAATACCACCATTACTTCTGTCTTTCCATTATTCAAACTGAGGTCCATTCTTCCACTTTCTAACACCACAATGTCTATCATTTCCTGTAGTTCTTTCTTACTTGTTGCTATCAAGACTGTGTCATCAGCATAATGTAAATGGTTTATATTGTGCCCACCAACCACAATTCCAGGAATATTAATTAAAGATCTCATTATATATTCACTGTCTAGTGAAAACAAATCAGGTGACAGTACACATCCTTGTTGTAAGCCCCTCTTTATGCTTTGAAATGTGCCTAAACAGTTGTTAATTCTTATAGCTGCTGTTTGCTGCCAATACATTTTCTTTATTATTCGTAGATCTTTTCCATCAATGTTTAATTTTTCCAACAGTTTGATTACTTCATGCTTTACACAGTCAAATGCTTTTGTATAGTCTATGAAGCATAAGTAAAAATCAGTCTGTACTTCTATAGCTTTTTCTGACAATGTCCTTAGGATGTATATGGCATTGTTTGTACCTTTTCCTTCTACAAATCCACATTTTTCATCACTGATTTCTGGTTTAATTTTGTTTCTTATTGATCTCATAAATATTCTCAGTAAAATCTTAGTCATGTGACTAATTGTGCGATGGTCTTCACATTTTAAACTGCTTGGTTTCTTTGGGAAGAGCTAAATATATATGGATTTTAAAAGGTCATTTGGAATATACCCACTATTATCAAAATCACCTAAAAGTTTTTTTAATTATTTCAATTCCAAAATCTCCCTGTGCTTCGATTTCTTCCAGTGAAATGTTGTCTGGCCCGGGTGCTTTTCCTTTCTTCATATGATGTAATGCATCCTCAACTTCTGCAGTCATTATAGGTGGACTATCATTGGTGGTCTGCAGTTCTATATCTGGTCTATTATCATCATACAATTCCTCTATATACTCTGTCCATCTGTTAATTATATTACTATATTACTATGTCAATGCTACTGGCTGTTTTCACGCTGCACAAACATTCAGGTCATGATATGATTGTGTTAACTAAAAATAGCATTAAGAGGGTTTTCCTTTCAGCCCAGTAGCCTTTTTAAAGCCAAGCTGACATCAGATTTTCCCATGGTCTCATTGATAGGTTCATGGTATGAGTCATTTGATAGATATTTTTTTTTCAGGCCTTGAGAAAAATAATGTAGATGAAAACATTTTTTATTAATTTATTAGGTCCCTGTGTAAAATGTTTTTTTTTTTTTTAGGATTTTAAAATGGAATTCCAAGGGGGGCATAACCCATTTTTTTAAATGTAACAGGAAAAAAAGGATTAACTACCTATAAACAACAGCAGGAATTAAACCATATGACAGAATAATTATCTGTTTCTCCCTGGTGGCCTAGAAACAAAATAATGACAAAGACCCAAAATTTTGGAATTTCTGGTCTTACCGATAAAATATTAATTTTTAAAAAAAAATAGTTCGCAGGCAAAATTTCATATTTCCATTTTTGGACATAAAAAAACAAAAATTATGAAGAAAAGTAATCAATAGAAACTAATGCCACAGAGAATAGGTACAGAACATCTTTCTGAGGTTTAATAAGTTTAATACTGTGGACCCGGTGACTGGACACAATTGTGACTAAAGTGGAAGCATGACATCAAAATTTCTATAAATATAACCAGTTTACAGCACACACAAAAAACATCCAAATGTTATTTTTACTTCAGCCACTGGCGGACCTATTTAACATTTGCCCATGTGCAAATGAAATCACTGCTCTTAGCAAGGATTTTTGTAAACAAGTTCACACAGTTGCACCAGTTAAGCGGCATTTACGGGGCATGGTTCGTATTGGAAGTGCTGGTTTTAGTACTTCCCGGGGTGAATGGGTCAGTGTAGACCTGTGGGAGAACTAAACAAAATATACTAAACCAAATAAGAAAAGAAACAGATAATGGATTTGACAATCACTGAGAAAACCTGATAATATTGTAACTAGACTGTTCTTGTACTACTACTTCAGGAACTAAAAGGCTTTTCTGTAGTTCTTTTCGAAGTTCTATTAGTGCAGAGCTTTTCAACTCAGTTTACTCAGGACCTTTGTGCTGAACATAGCGGCCGCCAATGGTCAGAGGCCTAGCATTGAAAGATTACTAATACAACTGGCAATGATCAGTGTGCCGCTTACCAGCCCTCTGCAGGCCAGATTCAGCCCGCATGCCGCCAGCTGAGTAGACCTGTATTAGTATAATTTTGGTGGGTAGTTTTTCTATGCTGACAAAGATTTTCTACTAGTGTTTATTCTAAAATTGAATATGTTCTTGTAAAACTCACCGGTTTTACATTTACATTTTTGTCAGTTTACAACAACAACAAAATATGTATATATAAATGGATTTTTAAATTCAATTTTTCAGCTTAGAATGACAAGTAAAATCTTCTTTCTTCTTCGCGTTCACCAGCTGTACACTCTGGCGGAAAGTTCTGGTTGCTCGTCCACTACTGAACTGCAGTCCTGCTCCAGAACATGAGTGATGTATGTGCATCAGTTTAACAGATCTCATTCTCTTGAATACAGACTGTTGGTTCCTTGCCTCTCCGGCAGATGCACTCCGACTTCAAAGAAAGCTCCCCAATTAGTCGACTCTTACGACATGCTTTTGGGGAGGCAGTGGGTCTATTCTTGTTTTCCCCACAATGGGGCCCTGTAACCCACACAGGGGACAAGTAAAATATTTTGTATTTATTTACTGCATTTTTTAAATTTATTTTTTGGTATGCTGACAATGACTTTCTACTGTAGTGTTAAATTATTATTGTAAAACTCATGTTTCTCTTTCTATCAAATTGGTCGAACATTTTAAAACTGATTCATAAATTCAAATTAAAAGTGAATTATAAAACGCACAAATGAAAAAATAAATTTCACCTCCTCTGACAAATGATTGCACCTTTCTAACAGGCGCTTCTTCAATGCATGTTCTGGACTGTTTTGTACCTCCAATGTTCTGTCACTCCCAAGCAAGAAATAGCAAAATTCTGGTAGAACATACCATAATAAACATCATTTAAACATTATGCAACTATTGAATAGTTAAGACATCCATACAAGGAACAGATATGAGCAAATCTTTAACTATATTAATTAGTATGACTAGACAAAAGTAAAGGTCCTTCCACATGTGACTCACTGGGAATATAAGGCTAAATATATTTTTACAGACCAAATGGCACTCGATCAGTGATGTGGTCAACATCATGCCAGCTGCCTTTACTTCCCCAGGACTAAAGTATGAGTAGACTGTAACTTGAATACAATGTTTGCAAACTTCAAACAGTAGTAAACAACTGGACCCCACGGAGATCTGGCATCTCTACAGAATGCTGAGAAAATGAACGACCAAGTCCCCCGTGTTTTTCCGGGGCTCCATTTAGGGAAAAAAACAAGAACAGACCCACTGCTTCCCTGACAAGCATGTCAAATAATTTGATTAACTGGGAACTTCCGTCGAAGTCGGAGTGCATCTGCCCGAGCGGCAAGGAACAACTAACTGCACATAAATAAGCAAGAAAATTGATGAAGACGCAAAACTCAGGCCTTGGCACAAAGCCAAAGTCCAAATGGAAGAACAGCCAGGATTTTCTGCTGGAGCTTACAGCTGGTGAACAAAGAAGAAAAAGAAGAATGACCAAGGAGTCCAAATATCCATCCAAATACTCATCAGCATCATCAGATTTCCATAACACTGTGTATCACTGGGTCACCAATTGCTGTTGATTGATCAGCTCCTTCTATCTCTGTCAGTAAGATACAATGGACTTCATGGTTGTATGCTTGAGGCCTGTCCCTCAGCCAAATTCGGCATCTAGGTCTTTCTTAGTCTCACATAGATTTGACATGTCCATACCACTGTATTTTCCATCTGATAAAGAGGTTCATAGTTGTCAATGTGTTGAATGATGTGTTCTCTGTATGATATGCCAAGGATATTTTGATAAGATCTTGTTTCCAATGCTTGTATCATACAGGTGTTTAAGTCCATGTTTCACAGTCATATGCAAAGGTACTGATAACATGTGCCCAAAATAGTCATCCAAATACTGCAGAAAGTCACCTGGCAAAGACACCAGGAAAAAAAAACTACCATGTGCTGGTCACAAGAAGGTCTGATAAGGCTGTTTTGATTGAGAAGACAGAGGGTGCTGGAGGCTGAGGATAGCAGAGAGAAAGGATGCTGGAAGGGATGATAGAGTAGTATGGAGGACATCAATCAACAGTTTAACTTTACAACATCACAAAGGAACAGATATATGAGGAGGAACAATGTCACTGGTGCTACCCTGCATGGCACATAATGAATGATCATCATCATTTTTTAAAAAAAGGGGAGGGGGGGGGGGGTTAATTATATGATGAAAAAAGAAATATTACAAATATGCTTTAAAAAAAATGGGCAAAGAAACTATCAGAAATTTTGACATGACTACAGCCTGCATACAATTTACAAAAATAGAATGGTTTTTGCCATCTTATAGGATATTGGCTATGGGGTGAAAGCTTATGTTTCTCAATGATCCTGAGAGCCATGAGGTTAAAGGTTAAAGGTGAGAGGTTTGACTTCACTGCACTGGATTTATCCAACATGGCTAGGTCTCCTTTCTTCTGCAGAATGACTAGCCACCTGCGGACAGCACCACATAAAGCATAAACTCTGTGGCTCCAATTACGATTCCCAGAGGACTCTGTAAAAACTACTACTGTGAACTGAATGATGCAGCTGTGAAATGAAGTTCCAACCTCCAAAGCACGAGGCAAGGCAAGCCTGACCACTTTGCCGCGGAGACCCCCTCAGAGCGATGCCAGCAACAGCGTAGCTACCAACAAGGTCTCCTAAGTTGCATGGGTCAAAAGGTAAAGAACAGGCACACACAAAAAAGACACCCTAGTCCTCCAGGTTTGAAGGTGAAGGCCTGGGGCCGACATACCCACTGCTTATAATAGTAAACATTAAAGTGAAGTTAGTTCTAAGTGCAAAAACAGAAACAGAATATGTAACTTAGGTAAACAAAACGTATACATGACTAAAATGAATATTACCTCTCAACAGTGCAGGAGAACAAACTGTGCGCAGGCATCGGGTTATGTAAGTTGTTGAAACAATGGTTCCAGACTCAGAGCTATGAATGCACATATAAAAATGCAGCTAAATTATTAATGTAACACCTCTAATATATCTATTACAGTAAATAATTGTTTGTCTAAGAAAACTATGAATGTTGTTGAAACAATGGTTCCAGACTCAGAGCTATGAATGCAAATATAAATATGCAGCTAAATTATTAATGTAACACCTCAAATACATCAATTTCAGTAAATAATTGTATGACTAAGAGACATATGAATCTTGTTGAAACAATGGTTCCAGACTCAGAGCTATGAATGCACATATAAATATGCAGCTAAATTATTAATGTAACACCTCTAATACATCAATTTCAGTAAATAATTGTATGACTAAGAGACATATGAATCTTGTTGAAACAATGGTTCCAGACTCAGAGCTATGAATGCACATATAAATATGCGGCTAAATTATTAATGTAACACCTCAAATACATCTACTAAAGTAAATAATTGTTTGTCTAGGAGAAATATGAATGTTGTTGAAACAATGGTTACAGATATGAATGCACACATAAATATGCAACTAAATTATTAATGTAACACCTCTAATACATCTACTACAGTAAATAATTGTTTGTCTGAGAGAAATATGAATGTTGTTGAAACAATGGTTCCAGACTCAGAGCTATGAATGCACACATAAATATGCAGCTAAATTATTCATGTAACACCTCAAATACGTCTATTACAGTAAATAATTGTTTGACTAAGAGACATATGAATGTTGTTGAAACAATGGTTCCAGACTCATAGATATGAATGCACATATAAATATGCAGCTAAATTATTAATGTAACACCTCTAATTCATCTATTACAGTAAATAATTGTTTGATTAAGAGACACATGAATGCTGTTGAAACAATGGTTCCAGACTCAGAGCTATGAATGCACACATAAATATGTAACTAAATTACTAATGCAACACCTTAAATATGTCTATTACAGTAAATAACTGTTTGTCTAAGAGACATATGAATGTTTCTGAAACTATGATATCAGATTTAGAACTGTGAATACACAAATAAATATGCAGCTAAATTACTAGTGTAGGACCTGAAATATGTGAATTCAGTAAAAGACTGTTACATTACAGTAAACAAATACTTGTCTAACAATAATAATACAGGATTATTCATGTAATAAATATGGTTGGCCTGATGAAGGGAGATTGCCAGGCCAAGGCAGCTGTGCCTCTAATATAAACCTGAACTAAGATAAGATATCAAATGAGGTGATCTAATTATAACCCAACTACTCGTCTACAGAAGTCTCTTTTGTTTTCCAATAAATAAACTAAACAGTAAACTAATTAACTAAATAAAATAAACAATAGCTATGGTTTTCAATTGTTATGTTGTCTAGTGTGTCCTTATATCTTTCTATGAGTGCTGATCAATACAATGTTGGTTTGAAATTACATTATAACTAACAAGACTCATCAATCTCTCCATAACATTAATGAATGTGTTATTCTTTACTTTCATTTCATCCCATACTTCAAGACTGAATGGAGGATGACCTGAGCTGAAATTACTTTGAGCAGCAGTTAATTGCTCACAGTATGTGTGGTTTTTTTCTTTCTTTTAAATAAGAAATTTTCTGTACCAATGTTTTGACATAACAGCCTCTTAAGCTATACTGACTGTTCAGCAGTTCAGTCAGTAAAACAGACAGGCAGGTAGTCTCTCAGAGCAGTTTGAAAGAGCCAAGGCTCTAAATGCTGTCAACAGCAAGAGCACCATCCGATCCAAGATTCTGCTGTTTGTGTAGGATAGTGAATGATGACAGTCTATGATTACTGGCATGGCACATGATGATGATATTTCCAGTGAGATTAAAAAATGGGGGATGAGGGTGGGGGGGCTGGACAATTTTTCATCGGAAAGAGGGTGGGGCAAAAAATGTGGAGAACAAAGAAAATATCCACTGCCCCCCTTACAAGCACATCATAATTATGGGTGTTTCTTTCAAAGTGCAAGCGCATCTACCTAAGAGGCAATGAACCAAAAGTCTGCACACAAATAAGCCAGATCTGTCAAACGGATGTGCACGCAAAAACTGAAGTTCTGAATCAAGGCCAAATTAATTAATTTTTCAAGAGAAGTGGTCCTTCTGAAGCCAATTTCTTTTTTTTTTTAAAAGCTTTATTATAAGTTTTCGTAATCTCAAAGGAAAATTCTTTGTGGAATACTTACGTCTGCATAAGCTGTAGCAAAATCTGGCCTGTGAGCAGTGTCTTGTGAATTTCTGAAGCCAGAGCTTCCCCAACAAGTGGGTTAGCCACAGCAATCAGCTGGTCACAATAGTCCAGCCATGATAAAAACGAAATCACTTGACATTTGCCACTAACACTTTGTTTTTCGTTTCTCTCGATAATGTTTCCAAATCTGATGAAAGCAGACCATGTATTTCAACAAAGGAAATTACAGAGAAATATGAATTCTTAGATTTTAATAGTTAATACTTTTTTAAAACACTTGGCTCACAACTCAGCCCTAAAAATATGTACTAGGAAATGTATGTATTAATTAACTTTATTTTCAAAGGGTCACAAATTGGGCCTACAGGCTCATCTTACGTTCTGCCCTTTCAATTACTATCTATCTTTTAACACAACAATTGTATTTTCTTTATAAAGCATGTTAGCTTTTTTAACAATATACATAAACTGAATATCAACTAAAATACATAAAGACATAGGATATATATGCATACATACATACATACATACACACATAATACATACATATAAATGTATGTTAAAACAAAAAAAGTTAAGTTGCGTATCCTTTACAGGACATTGCAGAACCAACGCTGTTGTGGTTTTTCTAGTCAAATTTTACATTTATTAGTTTGCCACTGCTCTCTTAACTGTCAAAACCAACACATGTATACAGACATGCATACATACCTACCAGACATTTATACATAGATAACACACACACCAATATGCTTACACTGGTACATAACATACACACACCCACTCATACATGCAACAAACTATCATACACATACTTACACTCATTCATACATACACATCCCCCCCCAACACACACATACACACATCAGAAAGACACATACAAAGATATTCATACATATCCTAACTTACACACATACACACCCACACATTAATAAGTACACATACACATACATACACAAACATACACACACATACACTTATTATTACATATATTGTTACACACACTCATACTTATGCATACATATGCTCACACATGTACATGCATACACCCACACATACATATACCCCTCATAAACAGTTGGTCACCATAATACTAACCACACGACCCATCAAATCTCATTTGGCTTACTTCACGAAGCTAGCATTATATACCCAATATGGGGTAAAAGCCTTTGAAACAATGGTTTATTTTACTTTTACTCAAAGAGAGCAAATGATCGAAACCCACTGCTGGCTGCGTGGATTTGTATCATGGTATGGATCGTCGAAGGTCGACCCAGCCTAAAATGGCTGTCCTGGGAAAGTAAAGACGGCCGGCGTAATGCTTACAACATTACCCATCCAGTGCCGATTGGTCTGTAAAAATATGGGACGCTTCCCATTTACCCAATGCGCAAAAAGGGATCTTTACTTTACTTACATACAAAGAGAGCACCAAAAAAAAATGTTATAAAAACAATAAAGCTACTGTGAGACAAACTGTTATTCTGAATGGGGGTGAGGGATCGGTAGGGGGTCTCACCATGTCTGACTGTTTGGACCACTTCCTTGCACTCTGAAAGTCACAGGTATGTTTCATGGACGGTTTATGGGTGCAATTTTATGAAGATCCCTGAGTATCATCATTGCAGCTATGGAATTTGTGCTCTGCGTAATGTTCTTCTTAGCAGGCTGCTTGCTTATTCTACATAGAGAGACTGTGCCATTCTGGACACAATCTGGTGGAATGAAGTCAATCCCCTCGACTTTAAAAGTGTAAGCTTTAAAAATAGGTACCGGAAAATCAGGTGTGATGAGAATCACTAATTAATTATACTTATTACATTATACTACATCCTACATAAGCAACACTAGTGTTGTGGCTGGAGGCTCACCTTCCGATCTCTCGAGTGCCGATTGGGCATTAAAAATATAGCTCTATCAATATGACTGATGAGCTAAAAGCATGAAAAGGGCCCTTTACCACATGCTTACTTACTACAGTAATATTCAACATCTTCAAATACGACATTACATTCTTTCACATGATATATATCTCCTTTTGTTTATCTCCAATTTCAGGTGTTAAAGAAGCTCAAAAAGTCTCACATTATATTGAACCCTATTACATTTTACTGCATGTTTTAATAAATGAAAATGTTCTATCACTTATCTTTCATCAAAATGTATGTAAATAAAGTAACAGATCCCCTTTTGCTTCTTCTTTATTTATTTTTTGTTTATCAGTGGCTTGTTGAGCATGTGCTGCTAGTCTCATGTCTGTATAGACCAAGCAGAACTTGGTGGGTGATGAGGCTAATCATCACACCGACCGCCTTTATTCTCAGGACATTATCTGGTACCCATTCTCGGCTGGGCTGAGCGATGGTTTATGTTGAAAGACCTTTGAGTTGCCATGTGAGCACCTAGCTCTAGGTTACCACAGTTTTCCCAAAACAATCATTTACATACAAGATTTTATCGAGGTTAGTTAATGAAAAAAGACCCAAGGCATATTTGGTATAGAGTACTAGATATATTTCAGACCAACTGGCACTTAAGGGGAAAAATCCAGCTCCGTTCGGATTTGAACCCAGGGCCTTTGTGTCCGGAGGTGAGCATCTAGCCGCTAAACTATGTCGGTCTCCATATGCAGTTAGTGCAAATACTTTACATTCAAATTCATTAGGGACAATGGATACACTGTGAAATCTTATAGGTCAATGGATACAAGAAAGATGTCAAGACAAACATAAAGCAGGTCCTCAATGTGGGTTTGGGGTCTTGTTATGGAGGGGAAAAAAAAAAATGAAAACCAGCTGCTCGCTACAAGCATAAGAGTCAAATGATAATTAGAGGTGTTTCAAGATGGAGCGCATCTGCCTGAGAGGCGAGGAACCAAGAGTCAGCTTACAAAAGGTCAGATCTGTTAAATGGATGTGCCCGCAAAACTCACGTTTTTGAATTGGACTAGAGTCAAGAAATAGACGAGCAACCACAACTTTCTGCCGAGTCTACAGCCGCAGAATGCAAAAAAAAAATACAGGGCAGAGAATCCACACTAAAAAATAAAACAGTTGCATGTCCTTTAAAGAACGCTGCAGAACCAACCCCAGCATTTTTTGGGGGAGCTTTTGTGGTTTTTCTAGGAAAAATTTATGTTCAGTAGTTTGCCACTGCTTTCTTAACAGTCAGCTCTCGGTACCAATGTCAAAACTAACACAAGATGTTCTGATGGGAATTCAAAAACAGTTGTAAAAATGTAACTATTCTCTTACCCCCATTTTGCTTCTACAGTCTCCACAACATCAGGACTGATAAGTGCAGGCAGCTTCTGATAGAGCTGAATCAGTGTGTTAGCTATAGCCTGGCAGAAGCATGTGTGGGAGATCAAGGCGGTGGCTGCAGATTTTTCTGGAAGGCTTGCACACAGCATTAGTCCTTCACATGCTTTCACTGATATCCTTGCATCCTGGGTATTCACCAGCATTAAGTTAATAAAGGTAATTTGCAACCTTCAGAAATATCAACATCATCATCTTATTGTACCATCTGTACATCACACAGGGCTCAGTCTACTCTCCATTCCACTCTATGTTGGGTAATCTTTTCAAAAGCATGGATGGAACCCAGTCCAGCACCTTGGACCTCTTTCGACAATTTTTCATTTTAGGGTTTCTCTTTTACATACTCGTTTCCTCAGGCAATTTGTTTCCCACTTCAGTGTGTGCTTTGTGGTTTTCTGGCTGTGTCTTCTCGGGGTGTGCCCTATATCCCATTGTCTTCTTTGTCTTATAACTGTTGCTATCAGTGGTTGTCTAGATATTTTTCATATATCTTCACCTTTTGTGAATTTGTCTCATTTGCTAGCAAATTTAAACAATCTGAGAAATACATCACCATAAAATCTCCTCAATAAGTTAATCAAACTAAAGTATTTTGCTACCCTGAGACAAATATCTAAATAAAGTTACATTTTAACCTTCTTCTTCTTCTTTCGTATGCTTGAAATAGATTATCGATATCTACAATCTTGTCTTTAATATGAACTTCACTGTCTTTTGTAATTCACTCAGCGACCCATAAAGTTTAGCTTGCACAGGTGTTTCTCTTGTCCAAAAGTTTTGCCATGATATTGTTGTATTCGGGACAGTCTTGGAGGACGTGGTCTTTTGTCTCAATCCACATTTGCACATGGCTGATTCACCGATTTTAAATCTGGTGTACATGTGGCTGCGAAGTCAACTGTGTCCTGTTCTAAGGAATAATAACTTGCTCTGGTCTGTCCCTAATATGGTAATCATCTTGTACCAGTTTTGATGGATTTCTGATTGATTTGATTACTCTTTTCTTCTGTTGATAACAGATCGGTACATCAGGTACATCATTTCCATCTTCCTTAGCTAGTTTATCAGCTCTTTTATTTCCAGGAACTCCACAATGGATGGTATCCATTGCATAGTTACCTTACACCCATTGCCTAGTTTAGAGAATAATGTTCCCATACCAGGTAATTTTCCAGATTGGAGTGCCTGAAGTACTTCTGTTAGGAATACCACTGGTTGTGAAATATGATGTATATTTAACAGTTTCTCTGTTGCTGTTTTGAAGGCTTGAACTTCTGCATCATTGTTGTGACAGTGCTTTCCTGTAGGCATTTTGGCTGTATATCTGGTATTATCTGGATGCTCAATATACACTCCTGCTCCTCCAGTTCTGCTTGCATTTTGTGCTGACCCATATAGACACGAACCCAAAGAGCCTGTGGATATTCATCATCAAATAGAGTGAGGGTGGCTGTTTTACATTGCACACTGTTCTGTTCTTCCTTGTCGAATACTCCTTTCACTTGTCTAGATGTGTATTGGTAACTTATAATCCTATTTCCAAGGGGTCCGATCTGGAATAGCATTTAAGGGGCTACAAGTTGCAGGCAGATCATTGGTTTGCCTGCAGAAAAGTTGGGCCTGGTGGATGAAACTGCTTCTTTTTAGTCCATCGATTGCTAGATTTTTAATCTTTCTTTTACAGGGTGTTCAGGCATGCTAAGAATTTTTTACTGCTTGTATTAGTATCTTAGTGTGTCTCTGTTCTGTCAGTGTATGGGTCTTCGCTCCCATCTCCATCACAGCTATAGGTGTGAACTTCATCCCACCTGTATGACTTTGAGCGCTTGATTTTGCACCTTGTCTAACTTGTGTAGTGTTGTTTTTGATGCTGAACTCAATGCAGTTGACCTGTGTTTAAGGTGTGGTCATACACTTTGTTGATGAACTTTCTCAAGTATTTTCCCATTTACACCCCATGTTGTTCCACTTAGTTTTCTGAGGATAGCTATCTTCCTTCTGGCTCTGGCTGCTACCTTGTTGATGGGTTTTCTACATGTTAACCTATCATCAAATATTTCTCTGAGGTATGTGGGCTCCTTATCCTCTCTTAGTGGTATTCCAATCATCTGAAAAAAGCCTGATTTTGTTTTGGGGAGAGGGTGAAGAGAGTGGTGCTACACTTGTCTATGTTGATGCTGACACAGCATTTATCAGTCCATGCAGTCCTGCATCTATGGATACCTAGTACCCAGAGCAGATGCGGAAATAACAAGCCATCAGTGGTTCCAAGAAAACTTTAGTACACCACACACTGTCAAGACGTCTAGTGCTTCTACACATCTGGAGAATTTTTTATCTCCTGTGGAAACATCATGAAACTGTGAAGTATTACTGTGAGTTTTATTATTTTGTGCCTGGACCTTCACTGACAGAACAGTTTGTTTTGTCATCAACACAACTGAGAAATCTGTCATCGATCATTGCAACTTGAGAGGAAACTAGCTGTATAATGTACATCCCACAATAATACAAGCAAAACAAATAAACTTTCATCTCAAACATGTAATTACCTGACTGGAAGACAATGACAGAAGGGCATCAACTAGGCTGAAAACCTGTGGTGGACGGTGGGGATTCCGTATTATTCCTTTATCAGGGTTCTGCAAGATTTAAGCATAATTTTAAAAGGCAGTGTGATGTGAGATGTCAGCTCTGTGCAAGTTACTCAGCTCTGTGCATCTTACACAAGATTATCCACGAAAAGGTTACAATCCCTAATTAGAAATTTGTTAATTTCACCAACTAAGGTGACTGAATTTTCATGGGAGAAATCAGTATAGTAACATTTAACAGCTACACTGGTCAAGTGTTGTCTAATCAAGTGGCACATCAGGATATTTGTTGCTAGGCTCATATCTTCTTATACTTCTTCTTCTCTTCCACCCTATACCTCAGCGAAGTGTAAGGTGGGGGGTGGGGTGTAACATTCATTGATGAGCTCTTTTAAGAGCCTATTAAGACTGATGATTAATTTCTGTAAGGCTGTTCTTAATGCCATCACTCCATCTTTTCCTAGGTTTTTCACTCGCTCTATACCCGTTGTCAACGTTTCAGTGTGGCTAACTGTGGCAGATAGTACTAGGGCATTCTGTTAGGTGTCCAAACCACTTCATTTGTTGTACTTTGATGACTTGTAAGACAGGCGAAGACTTGTAAAACTGGCTTTATTCCTAGCATTTGTCTGATTTCATTATTTCTGTCTTTCCTTGAAACTCCTGCAGCTCTTCTAAGGCATTTAATTTTCCAATACAAAGTGTATAAATTCATAATAATAAAGCCACTATTTTTATTATCATCATCATCATCCCGCAACACTGCGTGTCATTGGATCACCAGCTGCTGTTGACTGTCTCATCAGATTCCCCCATCTTTGACGGTCAGATGTGACGGATTTCATGGTTGCATGCCTATCTGTCCAGTCAGACAGTTCTGTATCCAGGTCTTTCTTGGTTTGCCTCTTCTACTCTTATTGTCTACTGAGCCCTGTAGCGTCTTTTTTTAAGAGGCCGCTAGATCTTATTACATGTCCACACCATTGCATTTTTCACCTTTTCACTGATGTTAAAAGAGGTTTATAGTTGCCAAAGTGATATACAATATAAAAACATATTCTCTAAATAATCATTACATACTAACCGTCTTAATCATAACAGATGGTGAACTAGATAGTTTTTCAAGTAATAACAAAATAAATTGAACAAGTAACTAAATATAAATGATCATACATGCATAAATGTAAGCATGCACGCATACGTACATGGGTGACGAGGAGAAGAAGAAGCAGAAGTAAACAACAAGCAGTCAAGAGACATCAATTTTATAGAAAATGGAATCATCTACATTAAGTATTCACTAAAAATAAAACTTACCTCAATAAAGAAGTTGACAAGATATGGATCTGTTTTGATCTTGGCACAAACTGTACATAAGAATTCTATTTCTTCCTTTTCCGTTGGGCTCCCTTGTGTTTCTCCACAAGCCTTCACTAAGCGCTGTAAGACAATAAATGCAAATAACTTATAACAACTGCCCATATGTTGTCCGGGTGCTCAGGGAAAACAAAGAACGGTAACACTGCACCCTGGCAGGCATGTTGTAAGAGGCAACTAAGGGTAGGTTTGGGTCACCTCATCTTGTAGAACATTAAACAACAAAAACCAACTAGCCATGAACAATTGCAATGAAGTAAACATAACAGCCAGCCAACCAAGATGAGAGGAGACTCTTCTAATAGAAGAACTATGATGTCATGCAATGAAAGCCAAAAAGACATTAGAACCAGAAGATCAAAAAATTAAGGCAGATCTAAAAATCACACAGAAGAAATTTAAAGAATGAACTAAAAAAGACTGGAGGACGAGGGTGATCTGCAAGTCATAGTAAAGGATAGGATGATTTTGTGTGAGTTTGTTGAGGGTCTATGCTATATTGGGAAGCAAAGGGCAGAAGAAAAACTCATAACAAATAATGAAGACAGATGTTTCGGTTAATGATTAATACATCCTTACCGCACTTGCAGATTTCACCAGCCTGATGTAACTTATGAGTGACCTCATTATAACTTCTTTGGAGGTTGAACATGGTATGTCGGACTTGCCTTCTTGAGGTGTCATCCAGACTGAGGTTTGTTTTTTAAATCCCAGAGTGGTCAAACCTTCAGGTAGCACCCCCAAAGAGATAAAACAAAACAAAACAAAACATAATTTTATGAACATAAAAACTTTCAAAGGAATTTGTTTCATCTGCAGTTTCAATGCTGTTAAATATTTGACAAATCATAAAACACAGACCTGTACAGCGCGATGGACATTGATATGAGGCAGGAGAGGATGTGTAATCCTTGATAAGAGCTTTGTGAAGAAGCTTAACACTGTCTGCTTCATACCTGGAGGATGCTGAAATATAAATGAAACATGTGCTGTCTTAAAATGTCTCATTTTATGGAGTAATGAACATCTTATTCAACCATACAAGAACTTATACATACAATGCACAGATAGAACAATCGTATAAATGTCAGAGATGTTTCACGTTAGTTCTGGAGTGAGACAGGGATGTGTTTTGTCACCACTACTGTTCATCACACATGTCGACCAAACTTGCAAATCAGCTACCACAGGCGAAGGGGATAATATTCTAGAATAACTAAATGATTTAACACAGTGTTCTTACCAACACTACGTTATCAATGCCAAACATGAAGACTGTCTTCAGAAAACAAGAAAAATAGTCATGACAGAAATGAAATGTTTACTTACTATGCTAGGTGTAGGAAGGTGTAGAAGAAAGAAAGATTGACTTAGGATTGATGATATCAGGAGAAGAGTCAGCACAGAACCAATACTGAACTTTATTGATAGACAACAGATCAAGAGGTTTGGCCATGTAACAAGATTGGCATCAGACAGGGCACCACAGAGAGCAATGTTATTTAGATACAAAGGTAACAGAGGTTGACCAAGCAAAAATAGCAAAGACACTGAAAAGTACAATACGGAAGCGAACAGAAGGGTCCGTTCCAGAGATCTCTTCCTTCTCTTATGCTGCGAGACATTCCAGGAGTAGAGACAAAAACAAACAGATTGAACAGAAGATCATGATAAAGTAAAGCTATTCTCATAGCAGATACTGTCATCATCATCATCATCATCAGGTGCCTTGTCGAATGGCGTGGGCGATCACTGTATGTGGATTAAAGTGTTAGGCTTTCACATACTCTAAGCCAAGGCATACGATTTGGGGTGAAGACCATGATATTTTATACAGATTAAAGAAGTTGCTGAAACTTGTCACATAATTGCGACTTGTCACATTAATCTTTTCCTCTGTTCCTCTCCTTTTTCAAGTGTTTTCACTAGTTACTGTTGGCACCTTTCCATCTTTTCAGAAGATAAGGTTATATTGTTTATTAAATAAATACTAACAAAACTGAAGTAATCAACAGAATTCCTAGTCTGCTACATATACGGTTTGAATATTACTGGTCTGAAGCTAGTTAAAGAATTTAAATATCTAGGAAATATATTCTCAGAAGAAAGAAGAATAGACTGGGAAATAGGAACAAGATACTAATGTAAGTATTAGCACCAAGAAACAGATTATAAATAGCATATTTATACCAACACTGTGTTATCAGAGTCACACTTGGACATAAATCAAAAGTTAACCTATGTCAAATTAACACTTGTGGAATAAGATGCCTCAGAAAATCCGCCAACTTAACCATCCGAGACAAAGTTAGAAATTATCAGACAGGCTGTCGGAACAACAAAATACAGCTAATTCATTGAGAAACAGAAGATAAAATGGTTATGTCATCTATTAGGAATGCAGCCAGAACTACTACCAATGCAGGCGCTACAAATTAAAAGATCTGAAGTGAAAGCAAGAGGCCACCCCAGGAAAACATGGACTGATGACATTAAAAAGCTTCAACACTGATATGGAATGACAAAAGCCATTGCTGCTCATCAAGCAATTTGCAAACTATTCCTCCCGACAATACTTAATGGAAGAAGTGGAAATTGATGATGATGATGAAGGTTATACTGTGTTTTAGGCAGGCATGAGATACAGTTCATGGCAATGGTGAGTGTGATTAGCAAGACCCGCCTGTGTTAAGAAAAGTCTTCCACAATCAAGGCATGGGATTTCAGGACCACTGTTGCCGCCATCATACTTATTGAGTATGTTTCTTCTCAGACGCTTAGTTCTCAACCTGTCTACAGTCATAGTTAGTTATGCACCTCGCTAACTCAAGAGGCATGCTTCACCTTTGGTATGTATTTGTGTAAGCATTACTTTCTCTAAAGAGCTTCTATCAAGGTAATGGGCTCTTATCTATACAGTGGTGAACATTGAGATTTTGTGACAGGTCTTATCATAAAGCTAAACCTTAGTCTTAACAGAGGTTTCAACTTTACTACAATCAGGTTTCCCCATGTTTGCTCCATTCCTGTGCCAGTGAAAATCAAATGAAATGTCCCTCATTGTCTCATTTTAAAAACTGGTGAACAAAAAATTAGTTCCAGAACAATCCTGTCCAGAAATGGGCGCACAAGGTAAATGCATATGACAGATGCTAGAGGATCCAAAGCCAACAGTTGCCACCAGAAATGCAGTTTGTTGTTGATGAAAGTAGTCGAGCACGGTAAGCTGGCTATACACACGTAGAATTATTACATAAGGTATTTCATCAGCTCACACGTAAACGGGCTACCTGCCATATTGAATACCATCACACAACCGCTGCACAAATGAAAGGCATTTCCATGAAAAACACAGCTCACATAATCAACTCTTGACTAGAACATTCTGGAGGTTACGGTCATTTCTGTAGGCCACCATGGAAGTTCAGAGAAAATCAGACTTGTAACAGGATCAGCCATTATAATGGAGAAGTGCGGGAGGATAATGCTTCTGACATGAATGCTAATAAGGTGGTAGATAGGCGACAGGACAGATCTGCCGTGATGTACAGGCTTGGAAGTGAGTGCCTCAGCAAGACTAATAGACCCATAGCGGTGAAAGCCGGAAGAAATCCAGCATTTCCAGTTCTTCTGAAACATTCTTTGGAGGGTAGAACCGATTAGTCTGGGCAAAAATTCAGTTGACCTTTTATTATTGACACCCTTTCAATCTTTATTCTCATTCAGTGCCCCAATGACAGACATTATTAATGCAAAGATGCCAGAGTTCTTATAGCTTATCCTGCAAATCTAAAAAGTTCACCCAAATGCTGTATGACGAGCTCAAGAGAAGCAAATCTCAATGCTAAATAATGACAAATATGAGGTTGCCGTGTGCTCACTCAAGAATGCAAATGTATGGAGAAGCTATTAAACATTATTTACAATGTATTTATTATAAATTTACTGAGGTACAAAAGGGAAGAGAAGACCTTGAAAAAAAAAAAAAAATATACCACAATGCATGTTTTGAGAGGTGACTGAAGGGAGATCAGCATAAGACTAAAACTCCATTCCAATGAAAACTTAGATTCAATACTGAACCAATCATATTCAAGTTCACAAAGGGCTTGGCATTAACTGGCTAATGGCCATTAGTCCATTAGAAAGAGAAAAGACAAAACATTCACTTGTTAACTAATTTCTAAGGGCACTCGTTAAAATAAAATTAGCACCCATCAAAAACTGATTACAATTCCAAATAATGTATATTATGAACATTCGATCTGATCCATATACAACAATAATACATTATAAAACTTAATTCTGTTCGCTCCAGTACACACAATAATAACTCACTCCAAAAATAACTATAAGCTTACAGCAGTTTCCCTGTGTATAAAAAATATGATCCACTCTAAAACTAAACTTATTTCAGTTCACTCCATTGAACACAACAATAATACACTAAAACTTACATCAGTTCGCCCCAGTGTATAAAGTGTTTCTAAGAGTCTGTGCTGAAGCAGATATTCCAAACACACGCCAGTGGTGCCAGCTTCCCCAAGGTTAGATTCCTCTTCCTGAATGATCCGCAACATGGACACAAGATGTTCTTGTAGATCAGTCTCCTCAATGCGGGCATCTCTCCCTGTGTGTTTTCACAAATGTAAATGCTGTTAAATTACAGATGTAAATAAAAAAATTAAAGACAAATCTCATTACAGAAGTCTGAAGTGCCTGGTTTTCATACATCATAAGTGTCTCATATCTGGTGTCAATCTTCATGCTGGTCAGTCCCTGCCCCTCTTTTCTTAAACCATGTCTTCCACTTTTATTTGTTTTCAAATCCACCATTGCGCAGATTTAATATATACTGTCATGAAATAATGGGTGATTAATTCCCTTTCTTCTCAACTGTCTTTTAAGACAATTTCCAAATGAAAATTATTAGGCATCAGTTCTGAGGACATAAAAAGTGTACTGTTGGAGACTGAACCCAGACCATTATAACACTAAGCAAGCAGACTCACCACTGTGCCATCATGACTCTATACAGGCACAACCAAGGCTAAATTAACAACATATAATATTATGTCAAAATAGATTTGAAGTCCCAGCAAATATGCAAACAGCACAGTAATAATTTATAATGGCACTGCCTGTGAAAAATTGAAGCCCCAATAGACACACACACACACATATATGTGTGAACATATATATACAATTTGTTGCCAGTCTTCCCCTGTCAAACAAACCAAATACATGACCTTACTCTCTGTCTCCCTCATGTGAACACCCCCCACTCACCCACCCAGTCTATGTTAACCATCTGTCTCACAGATTGAAGGCTAAGATTCAGTCCTGGACTGTCATTTAGCTCACAATTACTGGTGCTTCAAAGAGCCTTCGGGGTTATGGTTAGGAGCTAATGAGTTCATGATTTGCAAAAAACTACTACCACGTGACCAGCTGTTCTGTAGAGAGAGATAAAGCCACATGAGATTAAACCCAATTCAACAAAGTTAATCCTCTCGCATTAAAACACCCCACAAACAATAAAAGTAAACATTACCTTTGCTATCTACAAAGTAACTTGTAACAGACTTCCAGTGGTACACAAATTCTTCCTGAGGTGAAACATTTGGTGCAAACTGTAAAAAAATAGAGTAAATAACACATTATTGTTATAGTGATATTTTGTGGACTGCTGCAAGATGCATACTAAGTGTGTATATAAGCTCAAAAATAGAGCAAAAAATAAATGCACACAGAAAACATCTTTACCTTACAATAAACAATCAAAACTCAGCAATGAAACATTTTTGGGGGAGGGGGAAGGGGGGGGGGGTAGTGGTCACCAGCTGTAAACTCCAAGAGAAAGTATTGGTTGATTACCCACTTCTGCACTTTAGCTTTGTTCCAGGACTCAAGTGTTGTGTGCACACTGATATAGATCTGGCTAATTTGTGTAATTAGCTACTTTAGTGAAATTTTTAAAATGCTCTCTACACCAATAAAACCAGCACAGTTAGATAGCTGTAAACAATCTCTTTCCAATGGTACCTCATTTAGGCTTCTATGTCATTTCTGAGCTGAGATATGTAGGTTTTTGTGGAGATGAGATGTAAAAAACAGCCGCTAAAACTTGTGACCCAGAAACAAGAAGTTTTTCTCTGCGCAACCTACTGCGCAGTTCTGTATCGGCTTTGTTGACATTGGACTGTCATTGGACAAGATGGCAGCAATGAGACTCAGCCGCATGCGATTGCCTAAAAAATGTCACTGTAAATCTAAACAGCCAAAAACGGGAAAGAAATTTTATATACAAATGTAAAATTGGACGGAGAATTCAATTATACTAGCATTACCACATCTGGTAATGTTAAGGCCTAAAGCCAACCTCAAATTTACCGCTATTTTCAATCAAACTGATAGACTAACAGAAAAACAGAGGACGTCCGGCTGTCGAAGACATGCGCTGTTAATCGAGTTCCTTCCCGCCGTTTTCAGCTATTTAGAGTGGGTGAAAATCACACCAATCGCAAAATTTCATGAGAGATTAGGACCCATCCCGAAACCCCAGCCGACATTTCCGAAACAAGTTTCAAACGGTTTCCATGGTAACGGAAATTGTCGAAAAGATCGCAAATTTCTGAAACTGTAGTCGCTAGTGTACTAACTGTTGGCTCCTTGCATCTCAAGCAGATGCACTCCCAACTTTGCAGGGAACACTGATCCTATCTACACTGGCCAGATTCCCCTGGTAGGGAACTTCTTACCAGGATGACTGTGAAGAAGTGTAGATAGGTCTAGACTTGTATGAGCCCCGGTCCTGGTGTATCACCACATGTAGTTTAGCACTTCTGCAACCCCTTGAAACACCAAGAGACTGGGTTAATATTGTAGCTCTGGCTTCACTGGTAATTAAACAAATTTACATAATAATAACATCCTCGTGTGGGTTCCGGGGCCTCATTGTGGGGGAAACAAGAATAGACCCACCGCCTGCCCAAAAAGCATGCCATAAGAGTTGACTAATTGGGGGGCTTCCTTCAAAGTCACAGAGTACATTTGCATGAGAGGCAAGGAACCAACAATCTGCATGCAAATGAGTCAGACCCTGTGAAACGGATGTACATGCAACACTCAGTTTCTAGAACAGGACTAGAGTCCAGAAGTGGATAAACACCAGACCAACTTTCCAGCAGAGTTTACAGCCAGTGAATGCGAAGAAGAAGAAAATAACAGACTCTTGCAGTTAAATCCAACTACATGCTGATGCATCTTATGAACCTAAAGCCTTCAGGACATTGAACACATGGCTGTCAAGAAAGTGTGCTAGTCGCCACATTACCACAGCTTCCGCTCAGAGCAGTCCTTCTTTTCTTTGTCAGCATCTGGTTTGTGCCGCTAGGTGTCACAGTTCAATGGACGTTAGGTTAGTATTTCAGGATCCTCGCTGGTGCTACGGAGTGCGTGCACTGCCTTAAGATAATTCAGACTCAGGCTTGAGTTAGAAGTGGAAGTGTGCCACAGTGTAGATCATTTGAATAAATCTGAACACAGGTAGCCGAGCTAGGGTATGCTTGACTGCTTGGTATTCTGTGATGCTGAAAGGTCTTGAGCTGTCAGTAACTCCTTTCAATCCATCGTCTTCTAGGTCTTCTTCTGCCTCTTGGTGTTTCCATTTTAATGCTAGATGCTCTCTCTACAGGCATGGTTGGGTTCATTCTCTCTTGGTGGTCGAAACATTTTAGTATTTGTTTCTCAATCCATTTAATTATGGACGTTGTTCTGATAGATCCAATCTCCTTATTTCTCATAATGTTTTTTCTGGTCTTGTTAGAAGCCTTCCTCAAACATCCAATTTCATTTGTGGTTAATTAAAAAACAATTTGAACAGTGCTTGTTATAAAAGACATGCTGCCTCAAGGGGCTGAAACTCTGCCCTACTGTATAAGAAAACGAGAAATTCACAAATATAACATGGCTTACTGTTTCAACTGCTTGCTGAATGAAGTTTGAGAACTTGTGAAACATTGTTTTCTTCATTGCCAGGACACAAGAACTATCAAAAGATCTCAGCTGCAGATTTTAAAAAATATATAAATAAATGACTGATTGAATATAATAATTAAAAGCTACTCTTAATACCAACGGTATTCTTTTTTTTCTACACAGTAAGGGAGTTTTCTGGAATAGTTTTTTAATACTGTTGAAACATTAAGGGTTCGCAATATTTAATGGAGTCAAATGAACTGACTTAAGATAAACACTCAGGTAACATGAACAAAATGTTTGTCCCAGTTGTTTTTTTTTAAACATTACTATCAGTCCCCGGGTTACCACACATTTTTTAACATAAACCTGATTTTTTGGTCCTTTGGAATTTGTGTTACCCGGGTTTTACTGTATATTTTTTCAACTTTACTAATGTTACACATAATCATTAAACATAATGGGCTACTTGACAATTATAATCAGAACAGTAAACAAAAAACATACACACCCACAGGTTTGATCAAATATTTTAGTCTATCCATAGCACTTTCAAATATTAGTCTGACTTCTCGCCTCCATGTGTCGGTTCTAGTGCCTCATTGGGTGGGGACGAACAGAAAAAAAAGGGTGGGGTGGGGAGAGAGCTGACCCGCTGCACTCCTAAAAAGTACATCACGAAAGGTTAGGGGTCTGCCGAAATCATATGTAGTAGGCCTAAAAAAGCAGATATCGTAGCCCTGCTGTAAACTTTCAATATTATGTTCCAATTACCCTTTTAAGGGTGAAATCAGAAAAGCTTCCCATCCTCTGAATATTAAAGAACATGACATTAGGCATAAATAAACATGTCTGGTTCACTAAATCATGTGAGGCACCGGGGTGACATAGGGAGTCTTTGATAAAAGTTTGTCCAAGATCCTTTTTCTTCTGCACATCGGCGACCAGGTCGCCCACTGGCTGGCCGGTAGATGACTTCATCGCCGGTTGGGACAGTATTTGGGTAGGTTTCCTTTGATCGCATCAACATTGCAGGAGTTCTTTTCAGGGCTTTCGGTGATGTGCAATGATAAGCCATTTTTTATGGCGCACATAACCTAGTCACATTTATAACCTTAGCTCCTCCTTCTGGGATGCTGGTTAAACGTGACAATTTTTTCCCTCAAAAGCTTATGAGTAATTTTCTTCCTTTCCCCCCAAATAGAACAAAAGCCTTCCATTAACCAATGCCTAGCCCTCCTATCTTTTAGACTTTTGGTCCAATATGGGGGACAGGCCATCTAACTACTAACATTCTGTAAAGTTATTTGTTTTTAGCCATGATTTGCTGACACAATTTCCCCATCTGGACTCAAGAGTCCAAAAGTTCCATCGTCCAACACTGAACTGAGTGCTTGGTGTGCCATTGTAAGCTCTGGATTTAATTTAAATGTTGATTTTTTTCTGTTATGCCCACTGAGACTTTGTGTTGTGAAGTGCACTAAAAATGGCAGATGACTTATTACTACGTGAGAAAATGCTGGCACTTATAACTGACTGCTTGCATCATCAGTAAGCTACAATTCTTGTGACAGACTTAGTTGGCACATCCGATGACTGCCCTATGCATTTGTGTGAGTGAGCTGCAAGACTGCTGGAACTGATATATTTTTCACTATTTTTGTAAACAGGACAGGTCGAGTGATATCTACTGGCAAAGAAATGTGATGATTCATCTGCAGTAAAGTTGAAATCTTGACTAATGACTTGTCACTTTTCACAGCACTTTCCCCCTTTTTGCCCCTCGTCTTTGTCTATAAAGTTCTTCCCTATGAGTTTATAGGTGTCTCTCCAGGTGCTATCCTAACTCAGTATCTTTGCCTCACTTTTCAAGTCACCAAGAAAATGTGTGTAGCTCTTCTATCCAAAAGTCAGCGTCTGTGGTTTAGGCGTTGTGAACGTGCTACGTAATGCCAGGGTGCCGGGTTCAATCCCAGCTGCGGGTCTTGCCCCTTGCATTGATTTTGACAGAATTATCAAGAAGCCCCCCGTCCAGAAGGAAATGGCAAACTACTGGACGTAAATTTGCCTAGAAAAACCACAACAGCCAAAAAAATGAGGAGCTGGTTCTGCAACATCCTGTAAAGTATATACAAATAACTTTTTTTTTTCTATCCATAAACACTAAATTAGTGATTGCATGCTACACTTTCTACCATTTCAGCTGCTTTTCTGCACAGACACCAAATAATCAACCTTTTATTAGTAACTGAGTGTACAAATATTGCTTTACAACAGAGATGTTCCTACCCATTGGTCACTTGACTGAACAGAAAGAAAAAAACTATCATATGAAAGAAATCTCAAATAAATATTCCAAGTCTTTAGATTTTATTAAATGTTATGTAGTGCACTAACGCCGTATAATAGCAAATAAGTTTAGTAATTTTATTATAAATAAATATCATGTTCAATGCTTTTTGGTTATAAATTAAGTATATAGTATAATATAGCATATATGGTAATTTTATTAGAGATAGCTTCTTCTTCTTTTGTCAATATTTGCTTATGCCGCTAGGCGTCGCAGTTCAGCAGATGATCGGCAGCCGAGCCAGGATGCGTTCAGTCGCTTGATATGCCGTGATGTTATGCAGTCTCAAGGTGTCAGTGACTCCTTCAATTCATCCTCTTCTCAGTCTTTACCTGCCTCTTGATGCTTCGATTTTCAGGTTGTACACTCTTGTTGCTGGCATCGTTGGTTTCATTCTCATTAGATGGCCGAACCAATTCATTCTTTGTTTCTCAATAAATTTGACAATGGGTGTTGTTCCAACAGTTCTTGTGATCACATCGTGTCTCATTCGATCTCTTCTGGTTTTATTCACAGCCATTCTCAAACATCTCATCTCACAGGTGGTTAGTTTTCTTTCATGTTCTTTTGTCAATGTCCAAGTCTGACACTGGTAACCTAAGTCGGTATAAATATTGCGTTTGTTATTTGTCTTTTTGTCTCTGTTGGGATAGCAGGGAGTTTTGAAACTGGAGCAAATTGGTACGTGACACTGTTGGCTTGTTGGATTCTCGTTTCTATTTCTCTATTTTACCATTGTGTGTAAAGATGCTTCACAAGTATTTGAATTTTTGCACTTGTTTCCGACTTTCATCTTTGATCTTTATGTCGTTGGTGTGTTATAATAGAGCATACATAGTAATTTTATTAGAAATAAATGTCATATTTAAAGCCTTCTGTTATAAATAAGGTAAAAAGATGGCTCTACTTGCAGATTTGGCCGGCAAGCTGGACGGCGTCGGTCGGCTTAGTGGGGCTTAGTGGGAGTTATGTCCCTTCGCCAAACTCAAAACAAGTCGCGGAAAAAGTCACGAATTAAACAACAACATCAAAATGGCAGTTAGACAGAGAGCTCCCACACACATAACCAACAACGTTCTTGCGACGCACGACTTAGTTGCCACAGATGTAACTCCTGCAGATCTGTATGCATTAATGTCTGATAAGTATGCGTGGTTGCGGTGGCTAGCTGAGCATAGTCTTATAAGGAATATGCAACTGTGCAGCTCATGCAACCGACCTATGTCGCTAGCGCCTCGCCAGCACTGTAGCGACAGATACGGTTGGCGTTGTCATCGCTGATACTCGGTGTAGCATTCCTTTTTCGTCAACAGTGACATGCCGACCGAGAAAATAGTCATGATGATGTACTACTGGCTCTCCGGCGTAAGTTCAACGACTGTCATGGTCTTCGAGAGACTCACGTGCTGGTCCACCATTGTCAACTACAACAATTATTTCCGTCAGGAATGCTATAATTGGATGTTGAGACACACCGTGGAGCTGGGAGGACTCGATTAGACTGGCAGATCTATCGTGGTTGAAGTAGACGTGAGCTACTTCTTCTGACGAAAGTATCAGCGCGGTCGCATCCGTCACGGTCGTTGGGTTGTAGGGCTAGTAGAGCGTGAGACTGGCCGTTGCTACTTGGAGCGAAAACGTGATGCGGGGACATTGGAGAGGATCATAACAGATCACGTACTGCCGGGAACGACCATCGTGACTGACGCTTGGCGAGGCTACAGCAACGTCGTAAACTTAAGGCATGGCATCTATCTGCACGAGGTAGTAGTCCACCAGACCAACTTCGTCGACGTCGCGCACAGTCACATACACACACAAACAATCGAAGGCCTGTGGATGCTAGTGAAACGAACAATTCGCCAGCGACTAGGCACCAGCCGCCCGCTATTGGCGTCATATTTGGCAGTTTCAGTGGCGCCACTCCCACAAGTGTCAGATTGTCGGCCACTATTTTGACTTCCTACGTGAAAATTTTCACATCTAACCATACCCCTAACCCTAACCCTACCCCTCATCTTACGCAAACAACCAACCTACACGCAATAAGCAGCCCTACATGCAACCGTAGGACGATGATAGTCACCCTACGCAGCCCTACACGCAACCGTAGGATTATAGGTAACCCAAGACGCAACTGTACGCAACTCTACACGCACCCGGATGATGATAGGTAAGTATGTCATTTGATTCGTGACTTTTTCCGCGACTTGTTTTGAGTTTGGCGAAGGGGCATAACTCCCACTAAGCCGACCGACGCCGTCCAGCTTGCCGGCCAAATCTCCAAGTAGAGCCAAAAAAATAATAATTTAAGTCAATTATTAGTTTCAGTTGTCTTTTCATATTCGAATACTGGTAATAAAACTTTTATGTATTTTAATTTTACAGTAAACATTAATTATAGTAACAATTGTTGACACCGTTAACTAAAAGTTAGCTAACAGCTGGTGACAGATACTACCTCTTCTCAACTCACTATAATAAAATAATTTGTTATTATTATTTATAGAAAATAAAATCATATTTAAATTAATTTTTGCAAACTTCAATCTGTGTGTAAATCAAATGAAAGATAGGAATTCTTACATGTGCAATCAATTCAATCAAGTACTTCTCGTTCCCATTTTGTGCACAATCATTCAATTAGTAAATACACGAAAAACATATCTGGAAAGAAATAAAACCAAGTACACCACAGATGTTCCTGGAGGCACAGATGTTAAAATCTGCTGCTCACGCAGCAAGCAGGGCTGCCAATGGGATTTTTTTGAAAAACCCAGCTTAGCTGAACAAAAACCCTAAGCAATACATAGATAAAGAACCAAAAAAAAATTAAAAACCCAGATTGTTAAAATGTACAAAATTTATTTTTACGAAACGAAACATTTACCACTTTTATATAAGGATATATTTAAAAAAAAAAAAAAAAGAATTTCCCCCAGGCGTCAAATCAATACCCAGATCTGGGGGGAAAACCCAGCATTGGTAGCCCTGGCAGCAAGAGTGAGTAGTGATGGAAATAGTTCGCCGTATCGCACTTTCTGTAGCAGATTCGCATTTAAAGTCTGTCAGCCAGTGCCGTAGCGGTAGCGGGGAAGTTAATAGCCTGGTGTTTGGAGACACTAAAAAAATAAGAGAATTGTTGTCTATTAAATTTGACAACATTTAAGTAAACCTTAATATATCCTTATCCTGTTGTGTGTGCTCTTATGCCATCACAGGAGATTTGCAGTCCTAGTCCTCCATTTAACTCTAGTGTGTGCAATCATTTCCATATAATCATGGTTGGAATCCAGGCCAGAATCTTTGGCCTCTCTCAACCTAATATAAGATATACGTATGCGTCTGCATGGTATAACACCTTAATTAAATAATATCAAATGGTTTGGTTTGCTAGAGCAGTCTGGCACTTCTTTGAAACAGCGAAATCTGACATTAAAAGGGTGACCATATTAGAAAAGTGGATCTGATGCCATATATATATATACATGGTTACATGTCTTCTCAACTTTCTTACATAGTTATTGGGGGGGGGGGGGGGCTGACTATTCTCCACGTCTTCGGGCGTATTGTTTACACAGTAAAGTAAAGGATTATTTTTAACATCTTCAGGCGTATTAGGCATAGAGGGTTAGACATATATTTTATAGACCAATTGGTACTCGGTGGGCGATGTGGTCAAAGTCACACCGTCCGCCTTTACTTCCTAGGACCTGAACGGGTACCCACTTAGGTTAGGTCGACCTGGGAGCCAAGGTCGCCTTGATTGGAAAAGTCGGGCTTCCTTCTGATTCGTTCTGTTTACTCTTACTGCAGTCACGTGAAGTCGCCTCCGTCAAAGAGCCTACGCGAACTATGAGGGAAAGGGGGCGTGAGCCCTAGGTTCCGTGCCTATAGATATACTGAATGCTCCACGACAAGTAAGTGGTTTACGAGAACCAAGTGATGACTTTGAATCTGAAACCATGACCAGACTGCAAGAACATGTAATAAGGGGTGTGGCCGTACATTAGCGCTATTCAGGAAGCCGAAGAAGAATAAGAAACCAACAAAGAACTGGTGTCGTAGGCCGCTACGTGCTGCGGGATTAACTAAGAAGGGGATCTGGGCACTAATGGACTGAATGGTTTGATGTGCAATAAGGATCATATATCCACTAATTCCCAGATTAACTAATGTGTGTATGTAGGGTCGTTTCCAGAGAGAGAAGGCATTCGAATGTAGTTAGAGCTCGTGGTCTCAGAATATCATAATCCCGCCTGATACAAGCCAAAAATAGAAAGTATGACCACAGTCATTATTCAACTTTAAGATAAGTTGAAATTTGAGAAAGTGTGTTAATTTTAGTCTCATGAGACTACAGAAAACCTCTCCTGGAAAGAGAAATCACATCTTGTGAAAGGGTCAAGGACACTAATAATTATGGCAACAATACCTGAGCAAGCCGTCTAGCCTTTACTTTACACCGCGTTTATCCATTTTGTGAATCATTTCATTCCAGAGGATACTAAATAACAATACGATAATATACGGTGGCACATAGGAGAAAATGGTTTGGCTGACAGTTACACTGCTGCTGGCTTTAGTCTGCGAGGTAAGAGAAATAAGACTAGGTGACTAGGAAGTGAGATTGAGATGTGTGTTTTGTTGTGTTCCGTTCGCTCTGATTTGCCCTAGTTCCAGCGTTGACGTGTTTTTTGTATAAATACATTTTTTTTCAACTCTTTTATATATATTATATATATCGGTTTAATATAAATATCGACTAGCAATTTAATTTATTTTAAATTGTGATGTTCATCTTTTTTTATACAAAGGCAAGAAGTCCGAAATTTGAGTAATTTGACTTCTTTATTTTTTACGTTTTTTCCCCCAAAGGATCTTATTCATATTCCTGTTTATTCCGCATAATAATCTTTCTCCCTCACTACCTACCACATACGTGTAACCATGTAGATACAATTCCCGTATATTGCTCTGTGATATTTGCTTAAAATATATGGGTCTAAACATTATTTTCTTGAACACTCATGTTTGAAAACATTTTTCTTTCATTGATCAAAGTCGAAAGATGGCGACGTAAACAGTGTGTGTTATTCAACGGATGTGTAATTTTTCAGTGTTCTCGATGTGATTTACTTGTTTTCCAGTGTTCTCTTAAGGATGAATCTGTGTCAGGTCCAGCAAATCGGCAGTGGATTTAAGAGTTCAAAAAAATTTGCTCTAGAAACAATATATGAGATTTGAAAATCCATCAAACGTAACAACAATCAGGGCTCGAGAACAGGTCAGCCATCTCTCACTCATTGTAAACAAACTAGCCAAGTGACAAAAATCAGAAGACTAACCACCTGTGAAATGAGATGTTTGAGAATGGCTGCGAATAAAACCAGAAGAGATCGAGTGAGAAACGATGTGATTACAAGAACTATTGGAACCATACCCATCATTAAATTTATTGAGAAGCAAAGAATGAAATGGTTTGGTCACCTAATGAGAATGGAACCAACGATGCCAGCATCAAGAGCATACAACATGAAAATCGAAACACCAAGAGGCAGGGGAAGACCAAGAAGAAGATGGATTGAAGGAGTCACTGACAACATGAGACTTCATAACATCACGGCATATGAAGCGACTGAGCGCGCCCTGGCTCGGTGGCCGATCATCTGATAGCCTTAGACTGCGACGCCAAGCGGCACAAGCAGATTTTGACAAAAGAAGAAGATCAAAGTCTGATTCTGATCAGACCATAATTTAATATGACAGGTAATTAGTGTCCATTTTACAGATAATTTGAATTTGGAAAAGTTTTTTTTGTGGAGGAGTGCTGATGAAAGCATGATATCTTCAACTTGTACACTTGAAATATGGCATATGCTTATTATGTATACTAAATTGCACAACAGCTGGCTAAATAATGTGACTGTCCTCTACTGTTTAAATGGAGCCTGTTAGTAGCTTGCGTTATAAGCATCAAATTGTGATTTAATTTTTGGTTATAGAGAATGAAACTGTTGTCAACATTCACAATCATCTAAATGATGTGTGTGTATGGAAGTATTGCTATTGACATGGGTACAGTCAGTTGCTGGGTTCGGAGATTCAAATAATCAGGAAATGGAGAAATGGAGCTGATTGACTGGCAGTGTTGTGGATGTCCTGCCACGCCCTAAAATGTAGAAGTTTTGAAAAAAGCTGAGGGCATTATTCTAACTGTGAGGTGAATCACTACTCAACATTTGGCCTTAAGCTGTCAGACAGCAGTGAGTGGTAATGCAAAGGCAGTTATAAAATCTTTAGGATTTTCTAAGATGTGTGCAAGATTGACTTCTCAAAGTCTCACAGATGACCACTGATTGCAAAGGAAAGCAATTTCTTCTGAATAATTGGAGCATTTTAATACTGATGAAGAGAACTTTTAGCCTAAGATCATGATAGGTGACAAAACCTGGGCACATCATTTTAAACCCAAGTTAAAAAGACAGTGCAGTGGGGTATCCGCAGTCCCATGAAGAAAGAAATTTAGGACAACTTCTTCAGCTGGGAAGGTCTTGATTAGTCTTTTTGGATATGGCAGTTATGATTCTTATTGAGGCTATGCCAAGAGGAGAGACAATTGGTTCGCAAGCTTGCATAAAAAAAATTACAAAACTCAGCATTATCGCAGAGTTTGGTTGCACTATAATCAAGCAGACCTACTTCTCCTTCACGACAATGTGCACCCTCACACAAGTCTGGCAACACAAGAAGCAGTCACCAAATGTGGCTGGACTGTACTAGCCCATGCACCTTATAGTCCAGAGTTGGAACCCTCTGATTTGCATCTATTTAGACCACTTAAAGATGGCTGCATGATTAAGACAAAATCTAGGACGGGCAAGGAATACCTGCACTTGTTTCACCCTGGCATGAAGCTATACAAGTTGATCATAATTATTTTGAAGAATATTAATGTTTGCTTGAGGTATCAATGAATATTTTGTGCTTTTTGAATAAACAGCTCCTATTACTTTTCTGCTATCCTCCGAATAACGGTCCCAAATTATCGAGGCCAAAAATATACCCTAACACGGCCTCAGTCACATGTCAATTGCGGACTTCCGGTGACTATACCATCACCACCGAATTGCGGACTTCCGGGAACTATACCGCCATCGCCGAGAGTATCTCTCACTTGGCGTGGATTGGAGCTCAACTAGATGGCTGGGACTCACGAGCAAATAAAATGAAGGAAGCTGCAGGAGATGCTGTAGCTGCTGCTCGTGAGTGCCAACCATCTAGTTTAGCCCTAATCCACGCCGCTTGAGGGATACTCTCGATGGTGGCGGTATAGTCCCCGGAAGTTCGCAATTGACACTTGACGAGGCCATGTTAAGGGTATATTTTCGGCCTCGATAATTTGGGACCGTTTTTCGGAGGATAGTCTACTTTTCTAATGCTCCTCATATTTTTTATATAAAAAGCTTTGAAATATGCTGCCTCCCATTTTCCCCTGCCAGGCTCTACCTGAAGATTTAAACACCCTGCGATTTAACAATAAATTATTTGTAGTATATTCTAGGACATAAGCAAATGGTGTACATTCTTCTTCTACTTCTTTAGCATTCGGAGCCATTGGGATTAATTTCACTCACTTCCATACATCTCTATCACTGACCTTCTCTTTTCAGTTGGTGACTACAAGTATTTGTTGGTCTGCCTGGCCATTTACTCTCATTGGACTCTTTGTGTTTGCAGTTTGTGTCTCTGTTGTTTGTAGTTCTCCCTAAATACCCAGTGCCCTTCAGTTCATAGGTGCAATTTTTACAGAGTTCCCTGAGGATCGTCGCTGGAGCTACGGAGTTCATGCTCTTCATGGTGCTTTCGGCAAGCGGTTAGCTGTTCTGCAGAGAGAGACCGAACCATATGGGATAAAACTCGGTGCAGTGAAGTCGATCCTCTTGACTTTAACCCTCACATTTTCTTCTTCTTCCTAAAGCCCATACCTTTTGGTGTCAGTAATTATGTTTTCCAGTCTTTTGTTATTGAATATGAAACAGTCCAGCTTTCTGCATTCTTATTTGTTTATATTTATTTTGTGATTATATGTCTATTGTTTATTGCATCTTATCAGGTTTTCTTGAATTTTAGATTGTTTCTGAGACTATTGAACTTCATGGATTCTATTTTTGTTGAATTTCGTAAAGTGTGATGATACATTTTCTTCATTTAAAGATGATGTATGTGCCTGAGAGGAAACATAATAAATAATCTCTTTACAATTTTTTTTTTAATAAACACAAAAATCCTCGAAATAACACTTTAATTTCTTGTCTTTTCCTCTAATTCCTTCACCGGATAGCAATAGAGAAGCTTATGCGTCTTTATGAACCCCAAGCATTATGCTAGTGGTAGTATAGTTACATTCTCTGTGTGTTACCAGGGCCAATAAAAGAAACAAAGAATGTTAACTCTGCAACCTGCCATATTTGTAGTAAGTGGGCACTAAGGGGAGTTGAGATGAGACTGGCTGCCTTCTTCTGCATTCATCCATAGATGTAAATGCATTGTGCTCTTTGATCCTCGCTCCGGTTACGAATGAAAAGTTAGCAGTTTGGCTCCTGGCTCCTCCCACTATTTATATCAAAGCTCTTTCCTTCAGAAGAGCATTTAAGCCCCACCCTGTAAATTCCTTCAGTCTACCATTATAATCTTCCTTGTGGCTCTCAGTCAATTGTCTGCCCACCTACTGATCCCACTTTCTAAAGTGGATCCTATATGGTTCTACCATACCAGGTGTGACAAACCAGTCAGTTTTAGCCATAATGTCCAGGTTAGTTCCCCTGAGTTGACCAGTTCAGAAGGGCTGATTATGTAACATATCTGACACCTGGTCTGAGGTTGTCTGCTGACACTTCATTCTAAAAGGTGTCAACCCTAGCCCTGGCCTGCAGTCAAGAAAGATAATCACCAGGGAAGATACAAAAAAAGTTGGGAGATGTGAACCAGCATCATTGCAAATGGTTATAAACCATAAGTGCTCTGCCACCAGTATGGACAGCTGATAATAAACTGTCCGCCTGTGTCGCTGTCCCCACAAAACTCCGTACCTACAGCGACGTTCCTCCGTTTACCTCAGAGAGTTAACTCTGGTACCCATTTTCTAGAGGCTGGGAGAACTCCAGGAACCATTCAGTTTCGAACACTGGCTGGCTGCAGCAGATTGAGCTGATTTAAGAGCCGACATCACAATACTTGGTGTATTACCATAAGTGCTCCATCCTCACCTTCAGCAGCCAGTGCAGAGTTTCAATGCCAGTAGTGTCAGTAGCAATCTGATTATATGTCCATCTCACAATCTGAGGGAAAAATTGCAATGGTAAGCAAATGAAAATTCAACGAATAGATCACTTGCTTAATAATTATACCAGCAGCACATAAAAAAGTTCTTGCTATGAACCCAGGCCATTCATGAAACTAGTTTTGAACCTATGACACTACTATGTACTACTTGTACATCATGTGGAACATCCGTAAACACAAGGTAAACACAAACTTGTGATGTACATCCAACATGGCGACTGCACTACAGCTGAAAATTCTACAAAACAAGTCTTACCAAACAATTTCTAAACGCTAATCATGTGGACATCCTTGCAATATCTGAAGATGTCAGAACAATGTACAGTCACAAAGTCCGATAGTTCTCTAATCTCTATAACTGAACCATTTCCCAGTCTCCATAACTTGCTAAAACAACTGCAGCAAGATGCATTCGCATGGTCATTTGCTACCATTGACTGACAGCTACTAAATCAAACTACCACAGTACTAGCATTCCTATACCAGCGGTCAGTTTCGTGTAGGTTATTCCCTAGCCGTGGAGTTTGAAACGACACCTGTTTCACACACTTCTGGTGATAATGTATTTATACTCACTTCAGTCACTCATATCATGAATATTACTGTGCACTTTGACACTCTCTGTCCTCCGGCACACATGCATTCTAAAAGCACATTTAACACACAACACAGATGTTGGCCACATCAAACACTAAGTGCCAGTTGGTCTAAAAATATAAGTTTCTACTAAATACACAATACACCTAATGTTGTGGAAAAGGGTCCTTTACTTTACTTTTAATATATATATGTGTGTGTGTGTGTGTGTCTCTCCTTCTCTCTCTTTCCTCTCTCTTCTTCTCTTTCTCCCCCCCCCCCCCTCTTTCTATATATATCTACATATATGTATATATATCCTCTTTGTTTCTTTGTGTGTATTTATGTATGTGTATATATGTATGTATTAAACATACACACAACCAGAGAAAAAGACAGAAGAGAGATGCATATGTATAAAGCAGATGGGGTTAAGGCCTTATGGAAGCATTGTACAATTTGGAAGAGCAAATTGATCATCACAGTCTGATTTTAGGGATGCAGTGAGGGGTGATGAGGAAATCTGGCTGATAATCAACGCTGAGAGAAAAGGCAAGGCGGACATATAATCAGACTACTACTGGCACCATTGGTACTGGAACTCTGTGCTGGCTGCTGAAGATGGGGTTGGTGTGCTTATGGGAAAGCCTGAGTGCTGTGATGTCGATTCTTGAGCAACTCAAATCATATGTATATATATATATATATGTGCATCTCTTTTTTGTCTTTCTATGTGTATATGTGTGTGTGTATACTTACGTAACATACTATAATTGATGAGATCAGTATTTGTTTTGCACTTTTCTTTAAAGCTTGTTTGTTCTCATTTTGTCACTGAGTTTCCATTTTAACTGCATGTTTAACTCTAATAATCTCTATTACATATTCAGTATGTTCGCTGTCTCTGATAATTGTGCTTGTGTGTAACCTAACAACAGGAAGCACTTATACAAAGTATTTATCGGGATGTATGAGTCATTATTTAGTAGCAGACAGATCATGTTCAACGCAAGTCCACATTGATTTCTTTCGAGACAAGTTCAACAAGTGACAAAACTGACATGCGCACAGACACCACTGTTCTACCTCTCCTTTCACCCAAAATCTTTAAAGAAGCAATTATGTGTTGATTTTTACTGTCTGCCTGCTAGAGGCCTTGCTGCAGCGTGTCCAGCAATTATTGCTCAAACTGTGGGTATTGATCAGTTCAAGAAAGTTACTTGAAGAAAGTAGGCTTAAGCACAGTACCAATGGTCTACATGGGTAGTCTTGTCAGACATATGATATGTGGCAGTTTCAGTTGGGAAGTGTTTAAATCTCAGTATTTTTTGTTTGTTTTTGAGTTTATGAAGAGATCAGTTAGGTTACATTTACTAATAACTTATGTACATTGGTAGTTTTGTTACGTTTATGGTACATTGCGGATTCTATGGTGAAGTGTTTAAATCGCAGTTCCTTTTTGTGTTCATGAGTTTATGAACTGAACAGTTTCAGTTACAAATGCTAATAACTGGTCTATGGTGGTAGTCTTATTAGCATAAAGTACATCACAGTTTCAGTGGGGAGGTTTACATCTCAGTACGTTATTTTCTTCATGAGTTGATGAAGTTCAGTTAAATTAATGCTGCAATGATATTCGGATTTAAAAGAAGAGGACAGTACAATCAGTCAGTAAGTAAATATACTCACAGTTCTGCTATTTTGTTATTATACAACTCAGTCACTACCAAGCTCACTTTGTGTTTACTGGAGTTCTCTGGGTAGATATGCTTTATAAAAAACACACATCTCATGTCCCATGGGGCTGTTATTTATGTATATTCAATCCTGCTGTATGATAAAAAAACTTGAACAATGAACAGGCAACTAAACAGTCGAATTGAATCTATAGAAATGTGGATATTCAGAAGAATTGGTTGTATTTCATAGAAACAAAAACAGATACAGAGGTCCTGGAAAGACTGAGAATGAAAAGAGAGCACTGGAAGAAATTAAAAAAAAAATACAGTTGAAATATTTTTCAGCATTGACCCTTAGAAGAGTGGTTAGCACTTTATTCTGTGGTTTGCAGCTAGGCTGTGATGTCTGCGCCTTTTGGCCCAACATATCCAATTTAGGAAAATACTTCATTAGTCGCCTTTTATGACATGCTTGCGAGGGATGACTTAGGTGTTGCAAACAGGTTCATATTTCTGAGATACCTGGTTCAGTTCCAGCTGCGGGTGATTTAACACTAGATCACTTTGCATTTATTTTGACAATGGTATCAAGAACCGACCACTTTGACAACAATGGCAAACTACTGAATATAAAATTGATTAGTAAAACCAAATAGCTGAAAATTGCTATGGTTGGTTCTGTAGCAACCTGTAAAGAATATACAGCTAGCTATTTCTTTGTTAAGAGGCATTGGGTCTGTTTACCCCTCTCCTCGTCCCCCCACCCATTGAAGCCTCAGAATCTACCTTGGATTCAGAAGAAGACATCCGTACAGTGTCTGTGAGTAAAGTCATATTTCAGCTGTTTTCTTGTTTATTTTAAAATGCATTCTTTTTTGCTTTCACTGGCTGTAAACTCCAGCGGAAAGTTCAGGTTGTTCGTCTACTTCCAGACTCTTACCCTGTTCCAGAAACTGAGTGTTGCATGCACATACATCTCACAAGTCTGACTCATTTGCATGCAGACTGTTGGTTCCTTACCTCTCGGACAGATGTACTCTGACTTTGCAGGAAGCTCCCAGTTAGTCGACTCTTACAACATGCTTTTGTGCAGGCAGTGGGTCTATTTTTGTTTTCCCTACAGTGGGACCCCTGAACCCACATGGGAGAAAATGCATTCAGTACCAAGCATTTCACTGTGTGTTTATTGGGTTATTAGTGTCTGTAATTACATAAGCTCCACTGTGTAAGAAACACAGCCCGAGGTTTCTGATCATCAACATTGTTTCTCTTCACTGTCTCTATTTCTTCAGTTTCAATCAAATGTCATCTCAACAGTGAAAATTGGCCACAGTGAATCTCCAACACACTCAGTATCTTGTCTTGGTTGTACACTCTCAGACCGCTATTCATCCAATTCTTGATGTTGTCCACCCACTAGTATCTTTGTCTACCTCTTGCTGTCTTGCCTTTGACTTTTCCTTACAGTATGTTTTTTAAAAGTATCATGTCTTTTACTGTGGCCAATATTTTAAAAAGTTTTTATATTTTCTAGTATTTCAGTATTTGTCCTTTAATTTTTTTTTTTTTTTTTACATAAATTTTTTTTTTTTAATTATTCTTAAGACAGAATTGCTGCAACTTCACAACTGATGCATTTTTTTTTTTTTGCGTGGGTGTCATGAAATACAACTTTTCTTCTGAAATCCAGAGACTCACTTCAGATTCTTTTCTGTTTTTATTGTTTATTATATTGTGCTTCCATTTTTGCTAGAAAAGTTTGGTAGTGGAGTCACCCTCAGCATCTCCAAAAGTCCTTAGGTCAGAGCCTAGGGATCTAGCTAAGAGGTACACAGAACTGCTGCCTTCCAGACAAGAATGGTCCAGTCAAAGGCTAGTGAAGGCAGACCTAACTGAAACACATGTTGGAAATCAAGTATAGTTTATAATGACATTATCATTTGTTTTGAGGAGGGGGGGGGGGTGGGGTGGTGGGAATAACCTCATTTTATTTGTTTACTTTTCTTGTATGGTTATCTTATTATTGGTGTTGCTAAATTGTATTTTGTTTTATTTGCCAGGTATTTTCTGACTACTGCGAAGAGAGCATATTGTAAGTTTGTGTTTTTGTTGTTCATTTTTATTTTTTTTAAATGGCACTTTAAGTTTAGTTTAGTGAATCGGATATAATAGAGTTTGCCATGTTTTTCTTAAAGAAGACAGGAGTAATTATTTATTTACTTCATTGCTTAATTGCATAGTTGTTAGTATGTTCACCTGTCAGAACAGCAGTGTTGTGTTGCTTCTCAGGGTTTCTGTAGTAAAATATTATCAGATAACTGAATATTTTGTACAGTATATTTGATTAAATATTGAAAATATGATGCAGTTTTGTTTTTCAAGAAAATTGAGAATATTGTAGATAGAGAACTTGTTTATAATTTATATTTGTTTGCTGATGTTTTTATTGATTTTTTTGGGAGCTCGTATACTGGAAATAAAAGCGCCATTATCTAACTTCTAATTCCAGCTGCGATGCTCCTTATAAGTGTTGTGAGATGAAAAAGGGATGCTGTTACGACAGTATGCTGCATAGTAGCAAACACTTCCGCTTGCAGATATGGAATATGTGGTACTTCTGGTAAGTTCATTTTTACCCGTATGGTGGTACTTATTAGTTGGAAACGTATCTTAACATATTAACAACAAAATATAAAAGGGAAGATTCAGAGTCGGATGTGAAACTTTCAGCGACAAGTTCTGGTTTTTCATCTACTTCTGGACTTTGGCTTTGTTCCAGAACTTGAGCTTTATGTGCACATCAGTTTTACAGATCTGGCTTATTTGTATGTAGATTGTGAAAAACCCCTAATCAGGCAACTTTTACAACATGTTTGTTAGGGAGGGCAGTGTGTCTGTTCTTTTTCAAAGTGGCTCTACTCACCACAGAGTATCTAATACAGTAGTGTTTAAAAAAAAAAACTATTCCTAGCAAAGGTGTTGGTACTGCACACTCTTCCATACCACCAGAAAAGGAAACCATGTTTTTAATTCCAAATATGGTAGCTGTATTATCTTAGTGGCTAGATGCTCACCTGATAGCCTGAAGGTCTTGGGTTCACATCCACACAGAGGTCAGATTTTTTTCTTCCAGAATTGACCTCGGCTCCCAGGTCAACACAGCCTAAAATAATGTCCTGGGAAGAAAAGGCAGCCAGTGTGGTGTTGACCTCATCACCCACCAAGTGCAGACTAGTCTAAAATATGTTTCTAGCATCATATGCCCAATGGGCCAGTGGCTGAAAAAGAGTCCTTTACTTTATTGTAATAACAAATTTGCACTTGTTTTCCATGTTTTGTGTGTGTTTTTTTGTAATACCAAAAAGGGGTTGAGAATGTCCAAGAGAAACCCTGTGATGAAGATTTATCAGAGAGGTCAGAAGTGTCTTTAACTGCTCCTTATATGGTATAGAATAAAATGGGGGAATCTACTGTGAGCCCTTGTGTGACATATAAATAACGCAGCAGGGTGATGTAATATTGTCTTCTTCTTCTCCTTCTTCTTATTCTTCACATTCACTGGCTGTAAACTCCAGCGGAGAGTTCTTGTTGTTCGTCCACTTCTGGACTTTAGTCTTGTTCCAGAACCGTTAGTTTTGTGTGGGCATCTCAGGGAGATGCACTCCCACTTTGTTGGAAACACCCCGATTAGTAGACTTTTTATACCCCGTTTAGTAGGCTTTTTATCAGCCAATCAGTCAGCTGCCGTCGTCAAACTGAAGGTTGGCTGCAGTAGATCTCCAACATGCTGTATCTCTTGTCTTATCTGTACACTCTCTCAGACTTCTGTTTGTCCATCTTTTGATCTTGTCCTCCAGCTTGTATCATTTTCTACTTCTTGCTGTCTTGCCCTCAGCCTATCCCTCCAATATCGTTTTTAAATGTGTTACGTCTTTTAATGTGGCCAAAGTATTTTTTCTTGTTTCTTCTTTTTTCAGTGTCTGCCTATTCTGCTAGGCATTGCAGTTCATTAGATGATCAGCAGCAAAGCCAGGCCAGGCTCAGTCGCTTGATATGCCTTGATGTTATGCAGTCTCAAGGTCTCAGTGACTCCCTCAGTCCATATTCTTCTCGGTCTTCCCCTGCCTCTTGATGTTTCGATTTTCAGGTTGTATGCCTTTGCTGGTATCATTGGTTTCTTTCTTATTAGATGGCCAAACCATTTCATTCTTTGGTTTTGGTTATGGTATAGGTAGCTGTGTAGCCACTCCTCTCTGATTTGACCACTTCTGATGCTGACGTTAAACTCTCCTGCCAGTTCTGACATATCGTCCTCTGACATCTGCAGCATATCAGCATACTGGATGCTATCAGGGCCTGGTTGGGCGATTTCTTGAGTGTTGTCACTATGGTCTCAGATGTAATACTGAAATCGTCACTTAGCTCTGCCTTTTTGCACAACTCTGAAAGTGTTGACTTAAATGTTGCCTCATCTTTCTGGCCAGTCTGGTCCAAGTAGTGCTGAAGGAGAGCCTATCCTTTATCTGCATCAGATTTCTACCATGTCAGATCTGCACTTTGAAAGTCTGGGATGCCCCAACGTCGTTTGGTGCCACTCCTTACCCGATTAAGTCGCAAAATGTGGCAAGGGATCCTTCATAGCACACCTTCTAACAGTAATTGTCCTATTTCTCATTCTTGACCTGGTTTGCTCACAGCTTGAAAGCCATCGTTGTCTTATTTACTTTATCTTTCAGGTCACTCAGGAACTCAGGCTGCGACATGCTACTATTCCTGGCCTTCTGCCACATCTTGACGGCCTGTCTTTTTTCCAGCCATGCCCTTTCAGCCTCTTCATTCCACCACAGTGGCTGAGTCCATTTCTTTTTGTGTCCGCTGGAGGTATTTACTTTGCAGTGTCTAACTTTGCTGATGGCATCCTGTCCTGTGTTATCATACTGGAAAGTATTTATTTTGCTTATCTTACAGCTTTTTCCGTTCTTCTCAACCAAGACAACACAGGGCAGTTGGTTGCTGTCATGGTACCCCAGTGTGCTCCATCTACAAACCGGGACGATGATGAGTGACACTAGAGCCAAGTTAATCACGCTGTCCGATCTCCTCCTCAGAAGCTCCACAAGTGTAAAATGACTGACACCTGTTCTGTGTTGGTTAATGAAACGGAGTGCTGTAATGATAATCCTTTCTAATTACTTGTCACATGCTGTAGTTTTTGCTTTCTAGTAATGTCATACACACACAAAATTAATTGCCTCTGCCTGATATTTATCACATTTTTACCTCCTTAAAAACATCTAGATTACTCAGTATTGTTGTCTTTTTGTGTGTGTGTCTGTTGCTTCTAAATAAACATTCTTCTATAAAACCAAAGGGAAAAGAAAATGGGGAAAACCAAGAGAGACCCTGCATAGAACCATCATCAGGGAAGGCTCAGCCATGGGCCTAATGAGCATGAAAGACCTAATACTGGTGGCAACAAATCGCAAACATGGAAAGTGTTGTTTCTCAATATTTCTTTTATTTCTTTCTCTTTTCATTTGACATCTTTCCAGAACTCTGTATTGGACTGGTATTGTCTCCTTCAAGTACGACCTCTTCTTCTGTATACCCACTTCTGTATGACAACTTTTACGATGTGTTTCTTTAGGGAGGGGCAGAGAGTTTATTCTTTTCTTCCTCCCACAATAGGGCCCAGGAACCCACATGGGGATAATGTCATGTCAAACCATCAAGCGCTAATCTGATTCGTTTTCTCCCCCAGGTTTCTGGTTATATTTATGATGATGTCATGTTTTGGTGGATGTGGCTACTACAGACGTCGCCGTCTTGCTATGCTCACTCGGACTTCACATCCTTCACAGTTAAGAACTGCTACAGTATTGGAACCAGTCCAGCGAAGGTCCCGCTGCAGAAGTACTGAAGGGCAGCCACAGCAGTTCAACTTCTTTGCTTACATTGGATCAGGTGTCAGTTTACCACCGCCTGTCTCCAACTTGCCACCGGCTTATGCTGAGGTGACTGTTTATTATTGTTAAATTTAAACACGCTTGTCAGTGAGCTTGCTTTTAGTTTAGTTCTAGCACATTCCAGCATTTGTAGTTGATATTTAGTGTTACCAGTGATATTTATTATTACTAATAAAAAGAAATAATTAAATAGTGTATGACAGGATTTTACAAATGAGTTATTTAGAACACAAAGTTAAATATGTCAGAGACAAAATATACAAGTTTGCAGGACATTAGGAGCCTCTCTTGGCAGTGGTGAAACGTCACAAGCTAGCTTAGTTCTGGCATGTTGTGAGACATCATTCCATTGCAAAGACTGTACTTAAAGGAACATCAGGGGGTAGTCGAAGGAGAGGAGGGCAAAGAAGAAACTGGAATGATAGCATCAAGAAATGGAAAGGACTAAGTTATCACACACTTATTCATCAAGTGGAAGACAGAGAAAGATGGCAGGTTTTAAATGCTAGTGCCTCCATCAATACGGCCCAACGACCTTAACAGGTCAAGTTTTATGTTATATTATGACAGGGGTGAGGCCTGAAAGGCAGAATGCCCCCGTGCCCAATTCTTAACTGTTTGAAAACAAAGTTTTTTCATACTTTAACCCTGTTTGTAAACAAGTTTTTCAGTAGAAAGTATTTTGAGTTCATAACTTAGCAAAGGCAGGATATTTTTTTCTGTCTAGAAGGGAAAAGGCTACCAAAAATTTTCTCTCATTATCTTGCTCTCTCTTTCCATAAAATGTTTCACCTGTCACATGCTGTAGTTTTTGTCTTCTATTAATGCTGTCATGCACACACACAATTAACTGCCTCTGCCTGGCATTTATGGTAAGTTGCCCGCATATTTTTGCCACCTTCAAAATATCTAGATTACTCAATATTGTTGTACTTTTTGTGTGTGTCTGTGTGTTGCTTCTAAATAAAAATTCTTCTATAAAACCAAAAGGAAAAGAAAACAGGAAAGACCAAGAGAGAAGCTGCATAGAACCATTATCAGGGAATGCTCAACCATGGGTCTAACGAGCATCAAAGACCTATAACAGGTGGCAACAAACCGCAAACATGGAGAGCTATGACCGCTGCCCTTTGTGTCACTTTAGGCTCAAGAGGAAAGACTACCTACCTACCTATACAAGCATCTCTGTGAGATCTAAGAGATTTCATTGTTTTTTTTTAAACTTAATTGTTCAGGGTCCGAGCCAGACTTTTAAAACAAAATGACCTTGACTCCCAGGTCGACCCAGCCTTGTATGGGAACCAGGTGCAGTCCCGGGAAGTAAAGGCGGCTGACCCTATCACCCATCTTGTGCCGATTGGTCTATAAAAATTAGGGTTTAGCCCTATATGCCCTATACGCCTAAAGGTGTGGAAAAGGAACCTTCACTACTTTTTACTTACTTTGTTAATTGTCCAGGGTTCTAAACCTTAGTAAGAATAACAGAGGTGGAAAGAGACATCCTTGTTAGACTCTTGTTCTTATATTAAACTTATATGTTTGTTTTTTTCTCATGAAAAAAACTTGACATTTACTCTGTTCATTGGGTTAATGATTTTCTGTTATATCCCAAAGTGCAGTATCAGTGTTTAAATAGATTCCCTTCCAATGCTGTCATAGGCTTTTTCATAGTCCACCTGTGAGTTAAATTCAAATCCTTGCTCTGTTATTACTTGTAATAATACTATCTAGTCTGTGCAGGAATCTGTTTAATTCTTATTCTTCTACAGCTGTAAACTCCAGCGGAAAGTTCTGAATGTTTGTTTTAGTCTTGTTCCAGAACTTGACTTTTGCATACACATCCATTTTAAAGATCTGGGTCACATGTGTACAGACTGCTGGTTCCTCACCGCTGAGGCAGATTTGTTCTTTCTGAGAAAAATAATCCCCAATCCGTCAATTTTTACTACATTCTTGTTAGGGATGCGGAGGGTCCATAAAATGGGGCACACGAACGCACACTGAAGAACAGTGTAACTGAAACATGACTCTTCATCCCTCAGTTGTTTGTCAGTCTCCAGTAGAGATGCCCCGTCTCACACTACGCCCTTTGTAGTTTTATTCATAAGTCGTAGATTTTGCAGCTTCATTCATGTTCATAAGTAGTAGATTTCTGCATCAACATTTTTCTATGTAAAAAGAGATCTAGTCTCAAACAAACCCATCTTTGTTACCTCTTAGATAATCTTAGGTAGGATTACCGGCTGGCAAGTATTGTACCACTTAACCTCCCTAACCTGGATCTACATACTTGGCCATACTGGCTTAGAGGGAATGAGTGAGTGGGCCAACTGGTGAGCAGTGCACCAGCGCATGTGGGAAGAAGCATGGACAGAGCAGATATCATCAGAACTGTAAGGACTGGACTAGTGGATAATGAGGAATCTCTGACACTAACACGATTGTGACATGGGAGTAAAGCATGGTGACGCATTCTATGCTACCTTTGAGGCTAAGATAGGAGACATAGTGAACTTCTCATGGAAGCAATTAGTAGAAGTACCTTGGAGTGGCTGCTGCAATCGGAGGACTGAACACACATGAAAATACCCAATGTGCAGTGACGTCGATTGTGATAACGTAACTATATTTTGAAAGATGCATTGACAGGGCTTATATCATTAATGCTATACAGACTACATGACAAATGTCTGACATTCTTTCTTGAATAAAGACTCAAGAAAAGATATAAAACCACTTCACAATATAACAAATACAAATAAAACATGAATGTTGCGGCTATTGAGCCTTCATCAGCACATACAAATTAAACAATACTACACAGATACACAAAATCACTTAGCTGGTATCTCGAAGCAGCCGGGTCGGTTGTTTCTTAGCAGAATGACTACACGTGTCGGCTGGGGAAATAAAAACCTCCTTTGGAGTACCAGGGGCCATAACTGGGGTGTTGGGGATAAAACTGTGAAGGCAGTTCAGTCCCTTGGGAGTTTAAATGAAACTGTGTTGGCAGTTTAGTCCGGAGGGTGTTAAAGTCCCCAGAGTATAAATAAAGCGATTCTCAAGAGACTTCCGGACTCTGTTGCTGGAATGGACGGATTTAATGGCTGTCACCTCCATGTCAAGGACACCTTGGTGATCGTGGGAATTGAAGTGCAACGGTACTGAATAAAGTCTGAAACCAACCCTTCTTTGTTGCCTCTTAAAAAATCATGGGCAGATTACAGTACTCTCACTTCAGCTGACAAATATTGCACCACAAGTATTGTACCACTTCATGTGGGAAGATGCATGGTCAGAGCTGATATTATTAATGCTGTAAAGACTAGGTTAGTGAATTATGATAAATGTCTGACACTATCCCGAATCCAGTCTCAGAGGGACCCTTTTTTGCTGCCTCTTAAACAATCACAGGTAGATTACAATAGCTGGCAAGTATTATACCACTGCTTGCAGAATATGCATGATATAATTAATTTCATACAGACTAGGTTATAGAAATGAGACGCCCAAACAATCATAGGTAGATTACAATAGCTGGCAAGTATTATACCACTGCTTGCAGAATATGCATGATATAATTAATTTCATACAGTCTAGGTTATAGAAATGAGACGCCCGGCTCGCTAGCGTAGTTTGCCAAACCGGATTGTGCGGTGACCGGGTCACGAACTTCTTGTGGTCTGGGTTCACGCCCGGGGGTAGGCAAAAAAGCCACATTTCTCCCAGATTTACGGTATTTATCATGGAAACAAGGCCGAAGGGTTACGATATCCAAAATACAGAGCCTAAGGGTTGACAACTCATGGCTTCTGGATACTAAAAAAAAAAAAGAATTGAGACAAATGTGTGACACTATCTTGACTCTAGTCTCAAGCAAACCTGTCTTTGTTGCCTCTTTAACAATCATGGATATATTACAATAATTTCAGGCTAGCTGGCAAGTATTTTACCACTGCATGCGAGAAGATGCATCATATCATAAATGTTGTTCAGATTCGGTTAGAGAATTGAGATGAATGTCTGAAATAGACATGATTACATGACTTTGGCTTGAAGACTTGTTAAATGCATTTGTTCCATCTCTGAAGTTAAGATAAAATATCTTCGGGAAAGTATTGAATTTCAGAAAATTAATTTCCGGGACGTAATAAACTTCAGAAAAGTTTATAAATGAAAAGAGTTATACTTTTACTGAAACCTCTTCAATTTATAGATGATAGATACCTTGTGACAGCAGCACAGTCTTTAAAAACAAATACTATGTGAACAATTGTATTGTACACAAATAATCCACATTAAGGGGTTAACAATAGATCTACATGCTTTAAGGTGTTACCTTATTTTTTTTAATTATGTTCCACCTGCAGGTGATCAGTCAGCCAAGTCCTTATCCTTATAATAAAGTGGAGTTACCTCCATACCCAGGAAGTGATAAGCCAGGTAAGTGATCCCCCCCCCCCCCAGATTGCCTCACCTTCATAGGTCGAATTTAAGCTGCCTGAGAGGTGAGGAACTAATAGTCTGCATTCAAATAAGCCAGATTTGTAAAATGGATATGCACACATAACTGAATTTCTGGAAAGAGGCTAAAGTCCAAAAGTGGATGAACAACCAGAACTCCCTGCATGGGTTCCAGAACCCTATTTAGGGAAGAAAATAAAAGAATAGACCTACTCATCCCCTAACAGGCGACGTATTAGGCATGTGTCTTTGAAGTCGAGTACATCTGCCTGAGAGGTAAGGAGCCAACATTCAGCATACAAACAAATAAACCAGATCTGCAAAACGGATGTGCATTCAAAACTTGAGATCTGGAACAAGACCAAAGACCAGAAGTGGATGAACAACCAGAATCTTTCTGCCAAAGTTACAGCCAGTGAACGCTAAGAAAAAGAAGAAGTTACAGCCTGTTGAAGGCAAAGACAAATAAAAAGCCTCACCAAATATTGAAAAGAGACAGTCATAATATTTATTTTACCATGTTCCTAGAGGAAAGACATTGGAACAGATGCTATTAGACATCACTTGTTGTGGAGAGGCACGATCTCCCTACACCTGTCAGCAGAGCACTTAATGATGAGCTATGCCAGTCATTGAAAACCGAGGCTGGCCTTGTAAATTATAGGCAGAGGGAATGATCAAGTTCCTTGAAACTCCCATCATCTGCAGCACACGTGAGCACTTTCCCCCTGTTTATTCTTCACCTCAGCACTGCAAAATACAAGAGGAACAAGTTGAGATGAGTCTGTAAAAAATTGTAATAGAATTTCTTAATAAAAGTCATTCATTTTCAGTTGGGTAGATATTACTGAGCTACGATATAACAGTAGCTGGTACTACTTATCTTCTGCCAATCCCGAATTTTGGGTGGCATATACCAAACCTGACATTCCACATTGTGCTAATGACTTCGGATGGAGAAACACATTGGGGAAGATACTAAACTTATCATAGGAAAAGGAAATGCAACCATAAAACTTCATATTATGGCAGGACAGACTAGCCCTGTAGCCTTAGTTGGCAGCTGGTCTGAGAGGGAAGCTCCGACAGGTGGACAGATAGAGCACTGCTCTTCTAATCCAGCAGCTTCTTTGTAGTAATCAAAGTGAGCCGAGCAAAGGATCTATCTTGATGCATGGGCAACATGTGGGCTGTTCGATACTGCTCAGGTTTTTTGCTATGGAGAGAAAGAACCTTGCTAGTTTCACTCACCATCACCATAGACTGTGAGTCCCATGATTCCTCATAGCACAGAATAACATTATCATCTGTAAAGACGGAAAAGTGCCAGCAACATTGGGTAAAGTCCTGAGAATTAAAAGCGAACAGCGCCATGTTGACCGCATCATCTACCGAGTACCAACTGGTCTATAAAATATAGGCCTAGCTCTATATAACCAGGGAGTTGCTGTAATGTAGCAGCTAGAGGCTAGCTTGCTGATCACATACAAAGTGCTGATTAGTCTATAAAACATGGGTCTAGCACTATATATCCACAGAGTCGTTGTGGTGTAGCGGCTAGATGCTTGCTAGCGGATCAGAAGGTCATGGTCCGGATCCTGACGGAGCCGGAGTTTTTGTTTTAAAAAATGACCTTGGCTCTCATGTTGACCTACCTATCCTTGAATGGGTACCAGGTGCAGTCATGGGAAGTTGAGGTGGCAGGAAAGATGCTGATCACCCAGCAAGTGATAATTGGTCTATAAAATATGTCTAGCACTATATACCCAGGAAGTCGCTGTGGTGTTGTCTACGTAGAATTATCAAAATTTTCTGGCCAGATACAATCTCAAACACTAAACTACTTCAAGTCACAAACCAAGAAACTTTAGACAATATGATAACCAAGCGAAGATGGAAATGGCTTGGCCACATTATGAGAATGAATACTGATATACCTGCCAAAACAGCTCTCACATGGACACCAGAGCAAAAGAGAAAACAGGGGCGCCCAAAAACAACATGGAGAAGAACGATGGAAAGTGACCTGAGTGCGGCATCTTTGACATGGAAAACTGCACTGAGATTGCACAGGACAGGAAAGCATGGAAAGTCCTCTCTGAAGCCTCATGTGCCACTAGGCACAACGAGAACTGATGATAATGAGTCGCTGTGGTGTAGCGGCTCAACATTCGCTAGTGGATCAGAAGGTCCTGGGTTCGGGTCCTGATGAAGCCGGAGGTTTTTTTCTTCAAAAATGACCTTAGCTGTCAGATCAACCTATCCTTTAATGGGTACCAGGTGAGTCCTTGGAAGTAAAGGTGGCTAGCATGATGTTGACCACATCACCCACCAAATGCTAATTGTTCCATAAATTATAGATCTAGCTCTATAAGCTAGATCTGAAAGTTTAGAAAAGGTCTTCTTTTTTTTTTTTTTAAACTTACTTTATACTCAACACATCTAAGGGCATGAAATCGGATTCTTTATTTTCTTTTACATACAGTAAATCTCCTACTTTAAATTTATTAAATGTAATACATTTTTTCAACATTTTTTTACTTAATGAAATATACCACATTTTATCATTTTTCCTTTCCATTTATTTATTTCCCCCCTTTTTTTAACTGAACATTTGCTTATAATTTTCTTTCACAGAGGATCACCATTATCCTTTCACACCACTGTCATCCACTGTACACCACCATGACACCACTATGCCACCACCCTATAATGAATACTATTATGGGCATGAACAGCCACCCTTGCCAGTGGTGCCCAGCGGAAATTCGGCACCATATATACCACCACAGCCAGTTGTAGCTCAAGTACCAAGTGTGCCAGCAGAAAGAGACAGCAACATCACACCAAACAGCACCATAGTTCACAGTAACCACCAGTAAACAGAAGTTTGCATCTGTTGTTTACTTTTCTATTCAGCAGTATTTTAATGTCGCAAGAACAACACTTTATCCGGTTCAACCCTTGATACTTTCTGATTTGAGTGGACAGTTTAAAATACTGCAATAATTTTCCCTTGCATTTCAACAGCTCTTGTGTATGATGTCCTTTGTAATTTTTTTAACAACAGGTTATACTTGTATGCAAGGCTTTTTTAATATTTAAAAAAAAAAATAAAAAAGAAAGAAGAAGAAGCAGGTACTCACTACAAGATGTCTTTTAAAAAAAAAAAATAACATCACAAATTATCTATTACAATAGCTCTTATAATAGAGTATACCTAAAAAGGTGCAGGTACTGTGTACCATTGTTTAACGAAAAACCCTGCTTGTATGTGATAAGGACACTATTAACTTACATCTATAATTAATTAAACTCTGTTAGGTTAGTTCAAATCCTTTACAGGATGTTGCAGAACCAACCCCAACAGCTCCTGGCTGTTGTTTGGTTTTTCTAGACAAATTTACGTCCAGTAGTTTGCCATTCCTTTCTGGACGGTCGGCTTTCTTGATACCACTGTGAAAACCATCGCAGGGGGCGTGTCCTGCAGCTGGGATTGAACCCGGCATTACGAAGCATTTGCATCGACTTAGCCACAGAGACAACAATTAACTGCTGTAGAATTAGCATTTTAAGAAGTAACAACTTTTCCGTTGAAAGGATATTATGAAATGCATATGTTTTTAATGCAGTAAAATCAGTTAAGGTAATATGAATTAACAGACTAAAGAAATAAGTAGTGAAAAAAAGGAGTAAAGAACTTTTATATGCAAGATCATTGTATTATTCCCTTAAATCAGTGTGTTTACCTGTCCACAGCACATGTATTTGTCTCTTACTGATACTGATTTTATCATAAACATGGCAACTGTTTGTCCTCTCTTGAAATCCATGTGTTTCCATAATGGTATACAGATTCAGTGGGTTTTTTTCCTTATACTGTATGCACGCTAGGGAAAAAAATATATATAAGAAGTGTATTAAATCTATAGAGACATCAAGGAATGCATACAAATTATCTTTAACATCTGTAATTACATGAGTGTTCCAAGTGGTTACCCTAATTAAATCCATTTACTTATTATTATGTCTAATTAACTTGAGCAGTATTGGCCAGAGCTCTGTGGTATTGCTGTGCATTCTGTTTCAGTTTCTTTTCAAAGGAGCTTTCACTTTCTTTCAAAAAAGACACTAGGTTTCCTATGGCATTTGTGATTAATAACATCTTTAAAAAAAAAAATTCCATCATAATTCACATTACTATCATCATTTGAATTAAGTTTTCAAAGTCCATTTATATCCATTAAAATGTGTATAGTTTTTCCTTATTTTCTGTATGTATAGATGGACACACATTATCCAGTTCTTTCCATCTCATTTAAGAATACAAATGTTTAGCTTTTCATTCCTAAAATAATTTATGTATGTGATCTAATGTGTAATCTTGTTTTTAGCACACACAAAAGTAAGTGATAAACATAAAATAGAAGTGAAAATATGTAATTTATAAAGTATTGTAGACACTTAAATGGTGTAAATTATTGATAATGCCTGCAAAATCATCCTTTTTTCTCTCTTCTAAATGGTAATTTTAATTAAATAACTACATATCAAGAGATTTTTCAGAACAGTTGCATCTTACCTGAGCATGAGATGTATGTTCTGTATTTTCCAATTTATATAGTCTTGTGTTTAGAGTCACTAAGAAGAAATAATTTGTTTTTTAGTATTTTAAAAATATATAAGTAGTCATCCAAATGTGTGACCTAGTGTACTTGAAAATTAGCATTTCACACCTTTATGGACGAGATTGATAAATGGTGTAGATAAAACCTGCAAAAGATGAACAAACCATCACCCAGGCCACCCGCGAATCAGACAACCTGGACATGGGCCTCAACCTTGTATCAATGAGACAACAAAACAACAAAAGAAAGATGGAAGTATTTCCTGCGGTGTTACTCTCACCCATGCCATGTATAATTTCCTTCCTTCCTTCCGCCTTAACTGAGGTCATTGAGACATCACCCTTGCTAATGTTGTGGGGTATCAAAACCTGGTCATGTCCAACCCTTTCTGGACAGTCGTCTCCATTATCCACATATGTACCATCCTAATTTTTCTTCAAGATTTTTTTTTTTTTTTTACAAATTTCGAACTAGGAAAATATGAAAATTGTTACATCGATTGCCTGACAACCAGCCAGAAACATAAACAAATGTAGCAGCATTTAAATCCATTGTTATGAAATAACAGTTTTTAGCTAATGTGACATCTACTGCTTTGAGTTTAGAAAATCTGATAGTTGTGGCTGCCGTGTTGTTTCATTTAGCTGCTTCATGATTCAGTAAACATTTCTGGTTGACCATCAGTAAATTTCTACGGACCTGCACCAGTTTACAGAACACAGGTTAAAAATCGTGGCACTAGATAATGACTTTTTAAAAAAAAATCTTTTTCCTTTCTGAGTTCACAAGAGTCATGTACCTGTTTGACATCTTGGCTTAGTGGAGTTGAAATTATCTTAACTGCATTCTTACCTTATTTGACCATTGGTTCCTACTGTCTCTCATGCACGCATACTATCACATTCACATGTACTTATCAGTATGTGACGGTATCAAACAGCTAAACATTTCTTTGTTGGTAACTCAATAGGTGGTGTGCTTTTCTTAACTCAGTAGATTCTGTTATTATCTAAACCCACTCAGTCATTGTTACTTTGAAGCCTTCTGTCTACTCTGTCCTTAACGTTACTATATCAGATTCAGCCTCAAAGTGATGTTACACTGATATCCATTTTGTCATCATTTTTACTTTAACACATTCTGTCCCATGGGGTTGCTGCATTAACTCACTGTATTATCTGGACACTTACTAAACATGCTGAACAGCGCATAAATGCCTTTGAATACAAATGTTACACACGAGTTCTAAGAATATCCTGGGTAAAAAAAAAGAACAAATGCATCCATACTTCAAGAACTGAATGGTAAAGGTTATCTATTAATGACAATAAAACACACAAAATTGAAATATTTTGGTCACTTGAATCATCACGAAAGTTTGGAGACAATAATGGAGGGATGTAGGCCTGGGAAGAGAGGAAGAGGACAGCCAAAGAAAAGATGGGTGCACGATGTGGCAGATGATCTCCAGATAGATGTATCGGATGCTGGATATTTTGCTTGTCATCAAGGTTTTCCGGAGGATTATGGGAACAAGGTTCTGCAAAGGACATGCTACTGACTGTTTGTTATGTTACACATACTATCCTACTCTGCCATCAAACAAAAAATCCCTTAGCAGTTGGAAATAAAAAAGAGTGGCCTAACAGCGCTGACCAAAGTATTTCAGGATCCTCGCCAGTGCTATGGTGCTCTGCGCTGAGATTCTTCTGACTTAGGCTTAGAACGGAGCACTTATGGGTAAATTCCCTAGTGCCATGACGTTGATCTGTTGTATAAACCTTAAATCTCCAAATCTAGTTCTGTTTTTACACTAACCCACTCTGTCATTGTTACTTTAACCCTTTAAATCCAATACCGTTTTTACTCCAACACCACCCTATCATTGTTACTTGAACATTTGAATCCAATCCTGTTTTTACTCTAACCCACTTTCATATTGTTCTGTAATACATTTCTTCAAAATTCTATTATTACAGAACCCACCCCATCATCATCATTTTAACACCTTCTGTCCCATTCTGCTGTTATATAATAACATTCTCTGTAATCCTAAAAGGATTATCATTATTACTGTAACACCTTGTATCTAACACCATTACACTAACTCTCTTCCTATAGTCCAGGGTATTTGCACATGCACTTTCAGTCACTTCTGACACAGATGATCTTCCATGCCATGATGTTGCCTGTCCAGTATCTCTATTAGTCTCCCTATGCCTCTTTTCCCCTACAACATTCCCACCGTACTCCAGTTTTCTCTTTCTCCGGACATGATCAAAGAATGTTGACCGTCTCCTTCTGATGTGTGTTATCAGTTCTTTTCGTGAGTCAGTTTCTTTGAAGACATCTTCATTACTTTTGCTTTCTCTTCAGGGTATTCTCATCGCTTGTTTAAAAAAAAAACCCATATCTTCACCGCTTCCTCATAATTTTCAACTAATCAGCTAAATTAAAATTTTTCACTTCTACATATCAGAATATGATTTATTTAGCTTATGAGAATTATCTTTCTCACCTCAGTTGACAAAGAAAGATTGCATAGAATATTGCTCATTTTGTGAAATACTGCCTTTGCTTGAGTTATTCTACATTCAGCCTCTTTAATATATCTTACATAAGCTGTTATCTGGGTGCCCAGATACTTAGATATATCAGCCACTTGAAGATGAAGCCATTTACTTTGATGTTGCATTTTGGAGGGTCCATTTTTTTTTTTTTTTTGCAATTACCATTTAGACTTTTGTGTGTGTGTTTAAACTAAGACCCTTCTGTTACAGTTGTGTCCATCATTTTTTGCAGTTCTGTTTAATTTTCAGCTATCAAAACTGTATTGCCAGTGTATCGCAAGTTGTTCACAATGTGCCCACCTGCCAATGTTCCTGGTCTCATTGTTATTTCATTGAACTATGGAATAAATCAGGTGACAGTACACATCCCTTTCTGTCCACCTTTTTTTTTTTAATGTTACTACAATTTTTTTTTTTTTGGATTATTCTCAGATCTTTACCATCATTGTTTAAGATTTCCAAATCTCTAATAATTTGCATCTTTTACCTTATCAAATGCTTTAACATAATCAACAAAGCACAAATACAAATCTCTGTTCATTTCAGTTATTCTTTCTGTAGATCTCAAGGTAGATATTGTGTTGTTTTTGCCTTTACCTTCATCAAAACCCTACTGTATCTCTCCAATTTCTGGTTTAATTTTGCACCTTATTCTTCTCATTATAATTCTCAATAATATTTTCG